ATAAAATGGGCTCTGCCAGCATGACAATGGATGCCAGTATGCCTAATTCATTTCGGGGAAACGATCAGGTTTTCTATTTTGTGGTTCAAAGTTTGGATTTCTACACAATATTTCATTGTTGTGTATGAATGATGCTCTGAGGCTATGCAGAATCTATGTTCTAAAAATTCTTCATGAAGTTATCTAGTTGTTGAACATTAGATGACTGTGCTGCATCACAAATTAGGGTGCATTCTCTTCATTTATCTGAGCAATCACTTAAATTCTACCTTAACTTATCTGAACTTATTAGAAAAGTAGTAATTATTAATTGAACAGTTGAAATTGGGTAGCTCTTGTTGGCTTTGAACTTATCTTGCTTAATTGTTTGGTTTTGAACATAACTTGACCTATTTTTCCTTAATTAAGTTAAAATAGAGTAAGGAGTTTGAAATCTTAATCACTGCACTTTACCTTTTAAAGAAAATATTTTCAAGCCGACTGATGTGGAGTGGCAAAGAGTAAAAATATTGTGGTAACTGGTAAGAAAGTGTTTAGTTTGGAATGGCCATAGTTGAGAGTGACGATTATATTACAAGAGCAGATAAACATGTTTTCCAAGCATGATCTTGAGTTTTTTATAATGGCAACTACAATTTTATTTAATTTTATTCTATTCTCAGACCTACCTTATTGATGCTTTCATAGGGCATTGTTACCCCCACTCTCTTCCATTATCTAATTGTTTTTTTTAGCAGGCACCAAAAGGTCAAATAGGGAGGAAGAGAAAGCAGCAGCCAAATTCTTCAGGTCCTGCTAATAGCTCAGGCACTGCAAATACTGCAGGCCCTTCCCCCGGTTCAGCACCTTCTACACCATCAACACACACACCAGGGGATGTCATGTCCATGCCAAATTTACCTCATAATGGTTGTTCCTCGAAGCCTTCTCTTGTTTTTGGCTCTGATAGTGTGGGTACACTCACATCAGCCCCGAATCAAATGGTAAGCAGCTTCTATTTTTTGTCAAAATTATAAGAATTAGATTGGAGGAAGGAGCTGTCGAGACCATTGGTAGGCAATTGAAAGTGGTATAAATATGGCACCTTGACCTTGTTAGTTGAAACTTGAAAGTTTTTCTTGGTAAACCAGTTTAACTAGGATTTTATTGGATACTTAAATTGAACTTGTGAGGGAAGTAGTGGAGGTTTGGGTTTTCTTTGGTGAGAATATTGAGCTTATACTGTGTATGTCTTTTGGATGTGATATATGAAATGTTGTGGAATTGCAGGCTGAAATGAACCGCTTTGGTGATGAAGCAACTTTGGATGATAATGTCGAGTCATTCTTGTCCCATGAAGAGGGAGATCCAAGGGATATGGGTCGTGGTATGGAAGTCAGCAAAGGTACTTTTTTTTGACAAGCATGTTTTCCATGCATCAAAGGTGCATCCAGTGAGTACAAGTAACATATCTTCCACTATTATAGGTTATGTATTCAAGGAACTGGCCCTTATTCAAGCCAGTACGAGTAAAGTCAATTGTTGTCACTTCTCCCCAGATGGAAAGCTGCTTGCCACTGGTGGCCATGATAAAAAGGTTATTGCTTCGGAACCTGAACCCCCCCCCCCCCCCTCTTTCCTTTTTTATGTCAGGTCCATTAGAGACTTTAGAGTGCTGAACATTGTAAATTGAAATCTTGTGCAGGCTGTGTTGTGGTTCGCTGATACTCAAAAACCCAAGTCCACTCTTGAGGAACATACTCATATGATAACAGATGTTCGATTTAGTCCAACCAAGTCACGGCTGGCAACATCATCTTTTGACAGAACTGTCAGGGTCTGGGATATTGATAATGTTAGTATACACATGCTCTTCTTCTTATGGCCTCTCTTGATGCTTAGTCGTTTCAACTACATCTAGGACAGTAAATCTCCTGTCATCATTTTTTTTTTTTTTTGCAGTTTGCATTGATGCATTTTAATTTAATTCATTTGTGTTTGCGCTCCGTATTTTTTTGTCAGTACTTCAAAATTCCTGTTTTTGCAAAGTTGCAAATTATGCATGAACTTAATGCAGATAGATGCAATAGGCGTGTTCAAGCTAGCTGTACTAGGAAACTAAGTAAATTCTTTTTGGCTAATTTCCCACCCACTTTACCAATAGTTACAAGGAAGTTTGGCAGCAAGCCTAAAAGATTTCTATTTTCTTCTCTTCTAAAAATTAATATTTTAATATTGATTAAATTAGGGGACAAATGTTCTCCTTATTTCTTGTCATCTTATCTCTATCACTTTTTAGGAAAGTTTTGCCACTATTTGAATCGTAGAGGAAAATTTTATAGTCGGTTTGTTAGATAGCTGTCACTATTAAAGTTTGATATTTTTTTTTTTTTTTTTTTTTTTTTTTTTTTTTAATGTTTCTCATGTGATTTTTAAACATCTCTTCTTTCAGACTGGCTACTCGCTACGGAATTTCACAGGTCACTCTACCTCTGTTATGTCATTAGACTTCCATCCTACCAAAGAGGATCTTATGATCTCTAATGATTCAAATGGAGAGATACGAGTTTGGAGTATCAACAATGGTAGTTGTCCTAAGGTTATAGAGGTATGAATTGTGACATAACTCTATATTCTATACTTTTGTGTCACATGAGATGGTTTATTGAATTATTAATTTGCTTTCAATTTTTCAGGGTGGAACAGTTCAGGTCAGATATCAGCCTCGTACTGGAAAGTTGCTTGCTGCTGTGTCAGAGCCGGTTGTCAACATAATTGATATGGACACATACAGAGTTGTAGAGCAACTACAGGTGATGATTCTCTTCTCACTTTTGTTTGGCTGTATTGGTTTGACTTGTCTACTGAGCATATTTGCTGATGCTACTGTGGCTCATTTGATCTAGCTAGTTTGTAAGATTTTAATGTAACAATTTTAATATGGAACTTAAGATTATACAAGCAACAATATGCGTAATCTGATTGCCTGAATTTGTTCTGTAGCAGGGTCACTCTCAAAAATTTCATTCAGCCTGCTGGGATCCTTCTGGTGAACTTCTTGCATGTGTAAGTGAGGACATGATCAGAGTTTGGAGTGTCGGTTCTGGCAGTAGCAAATGGCGATGTGTGCACGAGCTGACCGGCACTGGCAACAAATTCAACACTTGTGTTTTTCACCCTGTTTATTCTTCTCTTTTGATAATAGGGTGTTACCAGGCAAGTTTCTATCTCTTCTCTTTTTTTATCCATGGATTTCCATGTCTATCCTACATTTAACATTTCTATTCTTTCCATGGAGTAATTATTTATTAGAAGTGTCAACATTTCAGCCTTTGTTATGGTAACATAAAACAATCACCACGTAATTTTACCACTTTATTCTATGCCATAGCGTTGCACGGGCATTAAGAACCACAAATTTAGGCATTTAATACGGCAAGATTTGAAAGTAGAATTTTCCAATTATATCAGCTGGAGGCTGTGTTACATGGGACTCGGATACCCATGTCCGACATGGGGTATGTGTCCAAGCGTTCGACTCGGCTATTTTGTGAAAAAAAATCCATGGTTTTGAACCAAAAGTGAAGTGTCCAATTGTCAAGGGTCTGACATGGGTACCTGAGGTGAAATGAAAGGTCCATGTAATATAGGCTGAAGGGTAAAAAAGAAAAGGGGGGGTGGGGGGGGGGGGGGGATGAAGACTATATTGGCCTTGTGGCATCTTAGCATTAAATTCCAGCTAAAACTTTCATTCTGCTCTTGGAAAGTACCCTTTGTAATCTTTAGTAAGAATCTTTCCTTGGAATATCAGATGTACCTTCAATTTATCATTTTATCTGTATTAAAATTCACAAATTGTATTTTTGCCAGAACTTGGAACTTTGGAATATGGCGGAGAACAAGACGATGACATTGGTAGCACACGAAGGACAGGTTACTTCATTGGCTACATCCGTCTCAGGCTTGGTTGCTTCTGCTAGTCATGACAAGTGTGTAAAGCTCTGGAAGTGATTGGGCTCACATGTTTTTTTGGAAGACCCGATATTTTACAGAGACTAGACCGACTTTGTTTTTAGAAACTTGTTCCTGGAACGTGTTTGAAATTAACGATAGAAATCATGTTTATATTCCTATACTTAGAATCGAATTGTCTTTTGCTTAGTGAATAGGGTTGGATAGAACATGCTTGTATTTGTTTTTTCTTCTAGTGCTAACTCAGCAGTTGTATGATGATACTAAACAAGCTGTCCTTTTCATTTCTATAAAATGCATAACTTGTTATACTGAGTTGCAGGATATGATCTAATTTTCCTAAATTGTAAATTGCTGTGGATTAGTGTAAAAGAATTGCTTCCTCTTTTGTGGTTTATACAGTTAAAAAAATATTGTTATGTGAGATCTTGTTATACGTAGTATTTATCTTGATACATACTTTAATAATATCAACTTGTATAATATTTACTCATAAATTTAAAGAAATACAATGTTGAAAATGTGCATTTGGACACGTAAATCCCCCTATGGTGCAGTAGTTGGGGAACAGTGAAGTATTAGTAACATGAGTAAAAATTCTGGTTTATTCAGTGACGAATTTGATAGGTACTCACAATGGAGAAAACTAGGTTGAAGTTTAAATTAATGCTTGTAAAATCTCTTTTCTTGCTTGTTCAATTTCCACTCCATTGCATACCCTCCCCCCAACTCTCAAAGTGACTAGCCTGCAAACTCGGCTGAGTTAACTTGTGAAAAATTCGGTCTAATAGCTTAATAGGGTAGTTCATCTTACTAGACTAAAGAACAAAAAAAAAAACACTCCGATTTACACGTACAATATTTGCCAAGCTAGTCTACGGCAAGGGAACTTGTGGTTTAATACCATTCATATCACAAGTTCAATTCCGCAAAGGGCACTTTGAGGGTGCAATATTCTTGCCTTTCGGATTTTCCCCATTCTCGAAGTATAGGAATTCTGGAAGAGTTAAAGCATGTATGGAAGGGTTATTGGCAATGTTTATCAAGTATTTAAGAAATTTTTTATTATACTGATATTGGAGGGGTCTGAAATGCATATTTATTTCCTTCCAACATTGCAAAACAAATTGTAATCAATATGTCCCAAAGTATAAAATCAATGGCCTATATGTATGTAGATTTGCTATACAGATTACTCATTACATGTCTCTGTAAGAGCTGATTGTAGAGTGTTCTATCACCTTTTCTGGAAGTTGAATGATTTTATAGCGTAAGCGAAAATGACAGCAAAAAACAAACAGAAACTGGCTACCAAGATACCGGCAATGCCCACAAAATCATTCCTGAACCCTAAACCATCTTTCAGCAACTGGCTTATAGGTACCGAGCGAACCCCGTCTGATAACTTCACCAGCGTGTTATCATCACCATACTGTGAGGTAAGAAGACCATAAAGACTCCAGGCCACCGGGTTGATCCAATAATACCACCTCCACCATACAGGAATTCTCTGTTGTCGAAAAGAATTTAAGTTAGTCACCCTTAAAAAAAATTACAATTAATAGTATCCTAATAAAACTATGAAATATTGGTGCTTAGTTTTAGTATTGTAGCTAAGCTCCAACAATATGAAAATAATGGTAATGTTACACGTCTAATATCTCACCAATAAAAGAGTCTTATTTACTAAACAATATATAGAAAATTTTTACCCCATGAAAAGTTAATGTAAAATATAAATAGAGGCACGAGTTAACCTTGAATGGAGTGTAAAAAGATTTTTTAATTTTATTCTAATACCATATTTAATAAATTTTGCCTTTTTCTTTTGAAAAATAAAATATTGTTTAAGCCTTAGACCCTTAGAAGACAGAGTTTTCATTTTCATAACGGAACATATCCGAGGACACAATTCCCATTAGTACAAGACTAGAGATTTTGATTTTAGCACTGCATTACCTTGTAAGGGATCATGAGGCCACTGAAGAGGTTCCATAGCATATAGAATGGAGCAGCTATTATGGCGGCGACATTGTGATTGGGTGTTATAGCAGTAGTCATCATTCCGAAAAAGGTGAAGTATAGTACTGTGAAGAACGCGAAGAACATATACCAAATAAACTTCAAAGCTGTCCATTCAAATGCAGCCATGGCGTAGAAAACTGCTGCATAAATGATTGTCTGCACAAAAACATAAGGAAACTCTATTGCTACCTGCACAATCGACATAGGAGGCAAAAATTCCGAATTAGAAAATATTTCCAAGAAAAAAAGGATAAATCAGAGATAGTATAAAGAAATACCTGTGCAAATGCAAACGGTAAAGCTGAATACAGCCCTGCAGCTCTCTCTCTGTAGGAAACAAATCTTTCAATGGAAACAACAGGTTGAACTGCTGTTCCATTTGTAATTCCGAGGAAAAGTACTGCTGCGTACAGCGATCCCATTGCATTAATAATGTCCTGCTGAGTTTCCCTTCAAAATTTCAACATGTAGTGTTAGCAGAAGTACTTGATCTTTTGCCATAAAGCATTTAAATATGGTTGATAAACAAAAGTAAAAGTCCAACTAGTTTACTTTTTAGAGCCAAATTTCCAACATATTGATCCAAGCATCAGTGAGATGATAACGGTGTAGAAGAAACGAACTGCTGTGTACTGAGGATTCCGCCAATAAGATAGATTTTGCTTCCAGAGACACGTCAGGAACTGATCAAAGAATGATCGAGAATATTTGGTTGGAAAAGTTATATCTTTAGAGTTACTAGGTGGTTTGCTGAGACGATCAACCAACTCTTTGTTATATCTGAACCAAAAGAAGGTGACAAGTTAGGCAATACTGCAATAGTATCATAAACAATGATGCATAATCAGGTAAAAGTAAAATATAAAATTGCACATACTGAAATAGCCGCGAACTTTTGTAGATTTCTGCAAAGTCTACATCAAGGCTTGCTTCTTCTGCCATTGAAGTAACATCAAGCATCCATGCTGCGGGGTTATAACCAGGCTTGATCTTCTGCACCCCTTCCACTGACTATAAATTTATCGAAACAATAAGGATTAGATAACATTTTTACAAAAGTAACCGATTTATAACTATGTTTGAAACTTCACTAACCTCAAAATAATCAATAAGTTTGCAAGATCTTGGTCCGAGTGCGCCAGCATATATGACTTGCCCCCCACGCTTCATAAATAAAAGCTGCCATGGATACAAATATTGGTGTAAACACACATCGCTATCAATTATGCTTCAGAAATGAGGACAGTTTTAACTTCTAAGAGAGGAAAAATACCTCATCAAATGATTCAAAAATGTCTATGCTTGGCTGATGAATTGTGCAGACAATTGTTCGACCAGTGTTTACGATGTTCCTCACAGTTCTCATCACAATGGCTGCAGACCTTGCATCCAATCCGGTTGTTGGCTCATCCATGAAAATAATTGATGGATTAGCAACCAATTCGACGGCAATTGTTAACCTCTTCCTTTGTTCTGTTGACAAACCATCAACAGCAGGTAGACCAATCAATGCTCCACTCAGGGAAGTGAGTTCCACAAGCTCCATAACTTCATTTACAAAAGCCTGAAAAAGTATGCCAGAAAATATTATCTATTAACAACAGCAAAAATGCCCAATATAGATCTTTCTGAAGAGAAATTAATTCATAAAGACCCACAAACACAACTTTTATACAATGGGAGAAAACACAGGTGACACATACCTTTTGAGTTTGCAAGTCAACTTCGGATGATAAACGTAGCCAAGCAGAAAACAGAAGTGATTCCAAAACAGTTAAGCACGGGGAATGAATATCATTCTGTTCACAGTAGCCAGATACTCTTGCAAATGTTTCTTGCTTTTTGGGATGACCCGATATGAATATACTTCCTTCTATGTATCCTCCAGTTTTTCTACCAGCTAATACATCCATAAGGGTTGTTTTACCAGCACCACTGACACCCACCAATGCAGTGAGAACACCAGGCCTGAAAGATCCGGTGACATCAACCAGCAACTGTAATCTATCTTCTGATACGCCTTGTTGTTTCATCTCCTGTTTTACAAGATGGGATTACAGAAAATTATTGCTGATCCAAATACATTCTAAAAATATAATTGCTAATTGAAGAGAAATTTGGGCCTTATTTTGTACTTACCAAAGGAACATCCACGTAGTAATTGACGTTACTGAATGACATTGACAGTGGTTGAAATGGTAGGACCATCCCCCTTTGTGTACATGGTTTTCCTTTGTTGAGCAAGGTCACAAACAGAAGAGAAAATAAGTTTCTTAGACATAATTTTAAGAAAGAATGAAACATATATGTAAAGGTACACACCATTTAATGAGCCTGAATGCTGCAAAAATTCTCTCAACTGGATGACCACAGTTTCACCCCTCTTCTTCCTTTCCCTCTCTATGAATTCGGTATTAGAAATTACAGCTTGTCTCTTTCCAAGGGCTGATTGATTAGTAAAACATAATGTGATTAGTATAGTCTGCCTTAATGCATGGCTCATTGTTTACAGCTTCAAAGTTTGAACTGAAGACTGAAGACAGGGCAGTATTCTAACTAGTATAGACTTCTACAAAAATTATAGCAGATGTGTTGCTTACGATGAAGGTAATTAAGGTTGAATGTGAACATGACGTTGAACAAGACTGTATATGCAACCATTACGCCTACTCCAATCCAATACCAGTAGCTTTCCGTGAACAAACTCCTTGATCTCAGTACTGCTTCACCGAGTCTTGTATTCCCAACAGGCTTGAACAAACCAAATAAAAAAAAAGCACAACAGTTAGAATCATTGATTTATATCTTAAACTACAACAAATAATAAAAGAGATAATTACCTTATCCCAAGAATGACCACTGAACTCATTCACAGAAACTGCATTTTGACAATACATGAGGGGAGAAACCCAGAAACCCCAAACCCACCAACGGGGGATGCTATCTGTGCAAATCAACAAATTACGTCAAGGTTGGATCTTGGAAGTCTATATATAAAGGTACCTGCAAAGTACTTATTTTTACCTCTTGAAATGATGTATCCACCTAGACCCATCACAACCAACATGGCAAAGGATCCAAATGTGTTGGCCACAATCATACTTCGACCTAAGGATCCCATCACACGGAAAAGTCCTAAAGACATCTGATGCAGGAGAAAGTAAATCAAGAACTGCTTGAAGAATCTGAAAGGAAGTACAAGGAATAGTTAGTCAATGAGTTCATGCAGGAAACTCTAAGAATCCAGAGAGAATAGATGAATCCGCTTTTACGGTGTGTTTGGATTGAAGAAAATGGAGGGGAAGGAAGGGAAGGGAAATGGAGGAATGGATTATCTTTCATTTGGATAACAAATGAGAAAAGAAGGGAATTGAAAGGGGGAGAAATGGAGGGATTAAATTGTAAGAAATTGATCTCTCCAACAATGGAGAGATTTGGAAGGAAAACTCATCTTTCTTCCCTCCCCTCCCTTTCTCTTCCCTCCCCTTCACCTCCCTCCCCTTTTTTTCTTTCCAATTTCTTTATCCAAACACACCATTACGCATAGATTACCTTATAATGTTGGGATCATAGCCAATCACAAAATATGTGACAATCACCCAAACACCGGATTCAATTAGTGAAGTAGGAATGCTCAAGAGCCAAGAAGGGATAGAATAAACCCAACAAGGATAGAAGTGCAAATCTCTATGCTTGTAGAGAACTGGAAGTTTCATCACTAACATGGAGACCTCGGTAAATCCGTTGAAAAGAATTATAACCATGGAGAAGTAGAGTGCACCAATGTAGAGGCCTCCATCATCAACTGTATTATGGTGCATCTTTGTTCTGAAAAATACTGTCATTGTAATGGTAGCAACAAAAAGAAGCTGCAAAAGTGCATTGACAAAAGAATCAAAATAGAATCTTGTTCTCAACTAAGATTCAAGATATTATGTTATTTTAAATCCACAATTGTGACCTCTCAAAACCGAGAATTTCATAGCTATCTTACCTGTATAAACTTAAAGACATAGATGAAAGAGTTTCTTTTCATTAGGAGCTTCTGCCACGAATATCCAATCTTAAGAAGTTCCCATTTCTTGACACCATATGGAGAAGTTGATAAAGCTGCAGGATGACTATTCCACTTATTGAAAGGTGTAAATAGATCCCGGCACAGATTACTCCCCACTGAAAAAAACCGGAATGCTTGTGCAAATTTTTCTACAGGAACATATTGATATGCGCGAGAAAGATCAGACCAATACTGCTGTTGGTCCTTCTTTGATGTGACCTGTGAACAAAGTTTGTAATAATTAACACATTAAGGTAGGAGCCTAGAATAATCAATTTAAGCTAAGGAACTGTACCTCTTGCAGGAAATCTGCAACATTCTTCCTTTCAGGACAAATAAATCCCATGGATGCAAAGAAATCAAGAACAGAATCGCGTGGTCCTTGATAAACAACCTGACCTTCACTTAACAGTATAACGTCATCAAACAGCTCAAAGGTTTCTGGAGCAGGCTGAAGGAGCGAGATCACTGTGGTTCCATCAAGTGCACTGGTTGAATGCTTGAGATACTTGATAATCTGGTAAGTAGTTGAACTATCAAGACCATTTGATATTTCGTCCATAAACAGCACTCGAGATTGTCCTGCTAATAATTCACCTATCAAAGCAAAAAGAACTCTACATCAGCAAAAAGAATACAAATCCAGCAGGCAATTGTCATCAATGAGAAGGTACAACATCATAGTTATAACCTGTTGTGAGCCGCTTCTTTTGGCCACCAGAAATCCCCTTGATCATCTCATCACCAACAAGAGTGTCCGCACATATATCTAAACCTAAAATCTTTGTGTAAATAGTTTTAGTGCTTTATCACAAGAAGAAAGAATTATCTTGTTGGTGTTACAAGGAAAGCATCGAAGTTAAGCTTAAGGACACTTTCAGAAAACTAGCGCAGCATTTTTTAAAAACAGATTGGTTCTCAATCTAATCAATTCGATTATCTGCCAAAGATATAAAATATTTATCTTGTCTGTAATACTGATGCAATGTGTAATGCAAAATTAGTACAATACCTTTAGTATATAATCCACAAGAAGGCTTGTATCTTTTCCATCCAAAGACATAGCCTGCACCAGTTATGTATACTACATTATTGAAGCCGGTAATGACTTTAAAGAAACAAACTCGTAAGCAAGGACTACAATACAGAATAAGAGACTGCATTAACCTTGATAAATATGTCAAGGTCTTCTTCAGGTTTTAGTCTAGATTGCTTCTCTCTTCTTGCAAGCTCCAAAAGCATATCTGTCATAATGGTTATACAATGTACTACATCATCAGGGAACAATATCCAACTATCGTGCCAAAATAATAAGAAAGCAAGATAGAACTAGCTTACCGTACTTGCTTCCAACACCTTGACAACGTGCAGCAAATGCTAGAGTTTCCCTAACAGTCATCTCTGCTATATGGCAATCCTGTTGGCTTACATATGCTGATGTCCTCTGAGGAACGAACTCTCGGAGATCATGCCCATTATATGTGATTCTCCCTGACATCTTTCAATTACTAAAGAGATATTAGGAGGTCATACTACCACAACCATTTTGCATGCATGTCATCCAAATTGCACTGTAAATTAAATAGTGTCCCCTCTTCCAACTTATTTCCTATGTTTCTACTTCATTTCATATTCTTAAAATTTAAAAAAAAAAAAAAAAGTTATCTCGCTCCTAGGCTAACCATTTTTCTTTCTGAAGGGTGGATCGTGGATGTCTTGTTTATCATTTTTCTTTTGGAAGGGTGTCTCTGAGTCACTACTCCTCCATACAAAAACAAGTATAACTCAGCTGAATATCAGCAAAAAGTTAACTGTGAAACCAATTCGATAACTAACATCTTTATCTATGATCATAATAATCTTAAAAGTTACTTGTCAATATAGAAAGAGTTTAATACAAACATGATTATCAACAAAAAGCCTTGAGATGATAGCTTAAAAAAAGACTAGACTAGCGATAATTACTTGGTGAAAGGAAGAGAAAGCGAGATACTATTCATAATTAGACCCTTTTTAAACACCATTTCGTCACTTTAGGATATTGACAGCAATAATTAACTTGGTCATTATCTTGATAACAAGAGTAATAGTCAAGATGTTGACTTTGCAGTTTGACAAATTACATAAATCCCAAAGTAGACATTAAGTTTGACAAAGAAAGTAAATAAAACTCCGTAAAAGTAAACCAATCTGAAACAGAGGAAGTACTCTGTAGTTGGAAAGCTTAATGAATAAGAGTGGTCAAAGCTAAAGTCGTTCAACTTTCAAAGGACAATATCGGACCTTCAATTTGTGATTAAGACAAAGCTTATATGGTATAATGATATCATAATCGTCCTTTAACTAATTAAATTAGAATCTTTGGTACCTGCAATCCAGGTGGAAGGCGTCCTGCAAGAGCTAACAGCAAAGAGGTCTTCCCAGAACTAGGAGGGCCTAATAGCAAGGTCAACCTACAATGTTTATATGTTATTATCAGTCAACTATATGTAAATACATTTTTTCTTAAAAAAAAACTTTAAGCACCTGGAAAACAATGAAGTTATAGTTTAAGCACCTAGAAGGTCTGATTATTCCACTGATATCATCCAATATGGTAATTTTTTTCCTCTTGCCCGGGAACAAATGCAACTTCCTTAAGAGAGCCTTCGACAATGTAACAAATAATTCCATGATTAAGACCTCGATAGATAGATAATTAGAAACATAATTAATTTAAGGAATGTTAATCATAGTTTTCTTTCACCTCAGACATGTTGAAAATGAAATTTGGAATTGTTGGCAACGCCCTGCTTCCTAGATGAACATATGACTCTACTGTCAAGTTCAGAAAGCGAACTTCTACCTTCGGAAATTCCAAATCTACCCTGTAACACGAAAAAATAGAATGATTTAAAACACTTAGAACACTTGCTATTTAAGCTTTTCATTATTATGGCATCTTAATCTCACTATAGTCTTACATATCTTAAGTAAAACTTTACTATACATTCATGTTATAACAAATCGTTTTTTTCAAATTAAATCATAAAATGAATAACATACAATTAATTTCCTTTTTAATCATTAGACATATAGCATTACTAGTACTACTATCTTCATTTTAACACAAATTGCTAATCCTCCATTTACAATATTTGATAAATATTGATTTATATAAAATATAGAAATTTATTTACTTCTCAACTAATTACTCTGTGAGCAGTAATTATTGTTATTGTTAGTATTTACCCCCGAAATTCCAATTTCTCTGTCCTCTATTATTATCTTTCCAAAATATTTCTAACCACTAGCTAGATTGAAGTATTCATTTCAGCAGTAAATACAAAAGGCTAACCACCTTCCTAGCTAGAGTAGCTAGGACCTCTTTCCTCAAGCAATCCATTTTTCCAAAATATAAAAAAACAAAAATCACGCTTACATTTCTCTTCAATAATTCAGTTTCATTTTCTACAATTTTTCACGAACTCCATTAAAAGCCAAAAAAAAAAAATTATTTTAGAATTGAAATTAGTAAAATCACATGCAATGGTACTAAATATAACTTCAAAATCTAATACGAAGTACTTCTATGTTCATCCATTTTTTTTCCCTCAAAATTCGAAGTTTATTACAATTCATTTGCCGTAATTTAACACTAATATGTACAATTGTACAAAGTATAAAAACATTATCAATTGATATCGTGTTAGATTTGTTTAATAGGTAGATTCAAAAAAATACTCCCTTGTTTATTTATTTTATTGCCACATTTTTTCACTACTACATATGAATGGAAATATTCCAATATCTAAATTCAAAACATCAACATTTTATAATTTTTATCACTTTTAATTAGAATCACTTAAAATGACAAAGACCGTGAAAAATCAAATGAAGCAACTAGCAAGAAACCGATAAGAGTAAGTAAGTAAAAAAAAATTACGCTTGAAAACGGCGGCGCATTCGATCGAAGAACAACATAGGATCATTCTCAACAGAGCTAAAAAGACGATCCAAGACAACCTTACGTTCATCAGCTTCAAGCTTACAAACATGGATCTCCTTACTATCACCTAGAACATTCCGGAATATTCCACGACGTACCCTTGTGTACGTCGGAAGTCTCTGAAGTGCAGCCCATCTTAACGCCTCTTCATCCTCTCCTTCTTCTCTAAACGACTCCGATCTTGCAAACACGTTCTCCGCCCCGGAATTCCACATTACTATAACAAAATCACGTCTTCTCTCAAGACTGAACCCTTTCGTATGTTATCAACAGTAGAAAGAGAAAGAAGAGAGAGAAAATATGAATGTGAATGTGGGTTAGTTTGAGGTGATAGGAGGATGAATAAATGGAAGGAGTTGAGCAGCTGCCATTGTAATGAGGAGTATTTATTTCAGTGTTTTTTCTTGTTAAAAAAGATTTTTGTGTGTTAGTATTTCTGTAAGAGTAGTAGTGGTGTAGTGTAATAGTACAGTCTTGGTAGGCAATAAATTTCATCCCTCCAACTTTCTTTCTATCTTTCTCCATCTCTTTTTTTCTCTCTCTTGTTATTATTATGACTTTACTACAGTATTGTGTTTGTGTGTGTGTGATTTAATTTGTGTCAATTTGTACACCCGTTGTTTATATCATGCCCATGTTATCCTTCTGGCTGGTGTAATAATTCATACATATTGTAGATAATATTGAAGCTCGAAAATAAATTAATACAACAATACTTGATATACTACTTTCCTTAATACCCAAAGTTGCACATAACAATTCATAGAGTTAGTATGTAATTTTAAGGGTTAAATATGACTATACGAGTATTGTAATGGTGTGATGATAATTGTAATATTTTGTTGATTAGTGTTACATTGTTTGATCATTAGATTATAGAAAGATGTTCAATCTTTAAATAAGAGCATCTTCAATGACGAATTAAACTTATTATTGCCAAATCAATTATTGTTTTGTAATATTTCAAGCTAATTTCTTTCAATTTAGCATTTTAACAGGTGAACAACTCTTCGAATACAATAACGATTGAAATATTTTTCCATCTTAGGAGGGGGATTTTAGAAAAATCCTTTCTAGAATAAGTTTGGTGGGATTCGATCCTAACCTTATACCTTAAAGTCAAGAACTAGCCAACTAATCTAGCCTTACATGGTATGGTACATTATTGTTAGAGATAAATCGTTAATATTTGATTTTATCATTGTTTAATTTTACCAAGTGCTTTTTGTGTGTTTGATTAGATGCAAGAATCATCACCCTATACACACTTCGAATGTGATCGAGATGTTACTTAATGTCCTTGATTAATAAATACTCGACTGCTCGTAGTTGCTTTGTTAGTTCTGTTTTGATAATTTGGTGGTAAACAAAGTGGAGCACATTAAATAGCTACTGTGACTTGTGAGCAAACCAATAGTTGAGTTGAGGATGGTGAAGGTAGGTCCATTATTTTTTTCTAATTTTACAAATTTTTTACTAGATCGATTGTATAAAATTAAGTAAACAAATCTTTCAGTAACGAAGAGAGTACATATGATGACCCAATTTAGCACGTGAATAATAGATGCTATGTGTGCGCACTTTACGGGACTGAAGTAAACAGATAAAAGACTTAAATGCAATGGTTGAAGTATGAGTCGTGACGGTTGGGAAGACAGTGAAAATGAGAAATGAAAATCATGATGATTGTGCAACCGTTGTTGGCTGGTTTTTAGGTTAAAAAGAGTAAAGGAGTATAACAGCAAACAGCCTTGCTGAGCTCAGATGATAAAGCTATTTGTCAGTTTCCTTCTTTGGCTTTGTTTATAAACATGGAATAATGGTGCTTTCAACAACAATCTCACGGTGTTTGTTACTGAAATCTCATGTTGTACTCCTTCCGTTCTTCAAAGTACTTATTTGTATTTAATTTGCACAGTCTCTAATGTCGTATAATTTTAACTGTTAATATCTTTAATTTCGTATTAGTTGAATTACTATAAAATGAAGCTATTATTATATAGAGTATATATGAAAAAATAAATTGCTACAAATCTATTAATATTGCACGTGATAATATATATATTTTTCTTATGCTAGATAGTACAATACTTTTAAAAGTTTGACTACATGAATAGTATACGAGAAGATATAAAAAGAATGAAAGAGGCATCTATATTAATTTAACTTCCTTTATTGCGTTAATTTTATTGAATTTAAATTTCAAATTGAAGCCTGAACCCAAAGCCGATTAAAAGAAGTTCCTATATAATTAGAGCTTGAAATATGGAACTTAACAAGTTGGACCCAAATAAATCCAACCCCACTCTTGCTAGTTGCTAATAAAGTGTATTTAATTAAAATTGTTCAAGTTTGGAGGATCATCATCAATATTCAATACATCATGCATTAATCCTAAAGAACCGAAATAGTAGCACTATTGTCATTATATTGCAGCATGATTATTTTGGTCACATACATCCGTCGATCATCATTCTGAGACCACACAAGGAAGCTTTGCTTGCCAAGCTCAAAATAGTAACAAATTATAATGATGTTTCATATGTGTGATATATTGCATGGCTTAATAATTGAATAATTAGGAGTAACAGCATTATTACTTATCCGATCAACAATTTATTTCCGAAAAAAAACATTTTATACAAAAGTTAGGACAATCTTCTCTATCTCATGACTTAGGGAGTTATTCCAATCAACATGTATTAACTAGTATATTATGTAATTTATTCAAGGGACAGTTCATGTGAAAAAATTAATCTAATGGATGGCGTATAATATTGGTCATATTATATAAAAGTATAAATGTATAATAATGGTGTCGAAAATGATGGGGTTAAAGATAGAAAAGACCTTAACAATGCTACACCTAGACAGTGGACATGTACATATTAATATATTATACTCACCGCCATTGATCGATCTCCTACTAATAATAAGTATTTGATGCTACAGATTACAGAATATACTGATATTTCATAGTCTTATTATTATTATTACATGACCACCAAAACATGCTCAATTTCAGTTCCCCCGGCTGGCCGGTTGAATGCCCTACCCCTTTTATTGCTTTGCTATAGGCCCGGGCAGAGTTGTAGTAGTAATAGGTTACCCCCTCCATCCTATATTATTGCACTCGCATTATTTTAACTTTTTACACTGCTATTTACACATCTACCCTTGTAGGAATGGAGTTGGGTTAATGAGCCCTCCATCCCGACTATAGGCCAAGGACATAACATGTTAACTCTTTATTATTAGTATAAACCGAATTGATGTTAGAGAATTATTATGACCGCATGTATATATGATTACATCTTCCATTTTCTTCACCCACAAAGTGGGCGGACACCTAGTTATTAGTTTCAAATCACATGCGAGTTATTCACTTAACACATTAATACATTTTCTTATGCAAAACGACTTTAATGTAAGCATGCAATGAATTTTCGTACTATTTAGCCATATGCAAAGACCAGTGATGCTTAAATTTCAACATAGACATCCAAACTACAACATCCGTAGATATTGTTGAATGTTGATAGATAATAATGGAAGGAAAACGACTTACTGCAATAGTATTCTTCACCTATATATATATATCATAAAATAAATGCATAACATAATGCTAATAATATTACTATGTACACCACAGAAAATTTTGGTCTAAATATGCATGTGATGTATTTGAAATATGAATCCTTACTAAAGTTTCCAGCTTGCATGATATCGAGTTGAGATCCAGCAGCTCAACTCAAATTATCATTATCCCTAATTACACCACGCGTTATGATATGTCAGACTAATTAAGAAAAAAAATTACATTAGCTAATAATGTTAACATCATATCAAATTCAATGATAAAAATTGAGATTTGATTTACATGAATGTTTTTTTATGTTTGATGTAAAACATTGTTATCGGATTTATGTCATTGTATATTTTTAAATATTAACCTTTTAAAATATATTGATTGTTAAAGTTGTATGTTAAAATTGTGCTAAATTAAGTGGAGTAACTATCAAAATAGAGACAGTACTTCGTATAGTAGAATATTATACTGTACAAAGTACTCCGTATGAAACAAGCTAAGAGGAGACAAAAAGAAATACTTGTGTGTTCAGTCTTAGCTAGTCTTCAGCCCATATATATGGCCATGAAGATCCTTGAATGAGTCCACACCATTGTATAATTGCATAGAAATGTCATATTACATTATTACCCATATATGTCATATTTATATGGGGCACGTGATACGTTTCCCCGCCTCCAAAATCGATCTTGATGTTGATATACTCTGTATTTATTACATGAAAAAAGCTATAAGGGCTGCATATAAGAAGCTAAAAGTGGAAATAAATAACAATAAATAAACATTTATTACATCGATTTACTCGTGAATTGTCGATAAATTCCCAACTTAATACTAAGGGCTGCATATAGCATTACCCTTCTTGATATGTTGTCCCTACCTCAAAGTATACGCCTATTGTAAATAAGTGTTATTCCCTGCGTTTCTTATTATTTGTTACGTTTGAAATTTATTTGTAAGAGAAAAAATAGTCAAAGCGTAACAAATAATAATGAATGGAGGGAGTATCATAAATTGGATAAAGAGATAGAGTATTGTTTATAATTTTAAAAAAAAAAAAAAAATCTAATGTTCAATGTAAAAATTTGACACGAGTACTAAAAAAAATTCTTAATCGTGGTACCAAAGCAATATTATTGGTCAACATTGAAGATAATTGGGACAATTGGTACTCAAAAAATTCATTGATCAGCGAGAAATTTTGGTGACATAATTGAATGTTCATTAATATAGGATTGCTTTACAGCTGAGCTGACAATTTAGGTGAGATTATAAATAACGATCTATCGCAAGGTGCCCAACATTATCAGCAATCATATCTTTTATTATTGCATGGTTAATATAAATTGGTACGTAATTTTCGTTTTAATGTGCATATATACAAAATTACAAACTTCCTAAATTCGTATCCTTACTATCTTTGTCAGTTTCTTATTGTCTAGGAACTCCATGTGTACTACTGAAAATAATCATGATTAATACAAACTTACTAGTATTATAGCGTTAGATTTTTATAATTTTATTAGAATTGAGATCTGGAAGATAACATTGAATTATGGGAAATATTCTTATCAAATTTTTGAAGACCATTATGTATAAGATGCATTATTTTGATGGGCAAACACAGATCATGTTAGAATACAAACAATTTGAAATACTTGTGCAAGTTACTTAATCTTTGATAACATATTGTATAATGTTATAGAATTCTAACTTTCATATATAATTAATGTTTTATCAGTACTCGTAATGTACTTCATACTATGTAGTATCACTTCAAGTAGCTTCACTATGTTGTCATATCTTCCCGTATAATTCGGTTGAGTAAGCATGGGCATTTATCCGTTCGTGCACCATTCCTTCAGAAGATTAGAAGGCCAGGGTAGCACTCTTTGCCAATTATGAGCTGGGAGGAGCAAACCTAAGACTGTCTCCAGCCATCTTTAGAGGTACTAACCAAAGTGTTTATAAAGTCGCAACCCAAGACAATGTTGTAAATTCATTGACAAGTGATCTCCAAAATCCAAATCATATTGAACTTCTAATGGCCAATAACGAGATTAACTTCAGAGGCAAGAAAGCTCTAAAAAAAATGTAACCAGTAACATAGACTGATTCAGGGTTGAAGCAATGGAAGTAGTTGTGCCTAGGCTGCAAGGCATACTGGCATAGGGAAAGGCGGGAGAGGATGGGGCTGGGGAGGTGGCCAGAATGGGCTTGTGATAGTTGATTAGGTATAAAACAAGATGATGGTAAATTTGTCCTGTGCCTCCTCTAGCGTCTTTTGGCACAGCAACATGCAGCTTGATTTGTTTTCTAAAGAGGAATGCCTGCAACACCCTCGCCAATTGCAGATTTGCAGGCTGTACTCTCTAGTAGGAAATAAATGTTCAACAGACAACATGCTCCTAGAAAACCTTAAACTGAAATGGTAAATGAACAACTTCTAGGCAATAAATATAACACCCCAAAAGCAAAATTTTGAACTTATCATAATAAGAAAATTTTGTTGTGGATATCAAGCGATTCTTTTACATAAGGTGTATCAAATCAGTCTCAGTCAGTAGTTTCTACGCCCTATATATCTGTCTTCCATGAGCTGGCAGCAATAGATCTGCAGTAAATCTCCATATGACAATGGTAAGCTTGTATCATGGAAATTGGGATAAATAAATCTGTTTCAGTCTCGGTCAGCATCCTCTATCTCCTCATCCTCAGGCACTCCGCGAAGGTACAGGACATTGTTGCACCTATGGGAAAAATAACCCCCCCCAAAAAGGGAAGCGTTAGATTTGAGAGTTTGGGTCAGATATGAAATCCAAACAAAGACTCAGCAATAAGTTCACTTGAAAGATTAGATCACCATTCACTAAGTATTAACAGATGTGGTAGTTTGGGACTTTATTTATCTACCTAAATTCTCAGAGGGGTTGGGCCCGTTGGGGACTGCCAGGATTGGAATAAAGCAGCAATTGCCAAGTATGTCTGGTAGGTCACTTAGAAAGCTGATGTTTTTGGAGGGGAAATGGACATGTTTCTTTGAAGTCATTAGTTGGTGGGAAAATAGATCCACAGTTAATGTCAGTTGGACTGGGAAGAAAATTTGCTGTATGAAAGAGAGCTTCAAAAGAACCTATGCTAACAACATTTGGACTGAAGAACTCAAAGCATGTCTATTCTATTGCTTTTGGGAATTTCATCTGACGGTTAGTTAAGCTTGGTGGACTAATAACAAAGGATGGACTACACAGAATTGGAGTTTGTCCTGATAACCTCTGTTGCCGTGTGAAAACCTGAAAAGGTTGCCTGAGATTATTGACCTACTTTTCTTTAGCTGCTGCTACAGATCCCAGATTCTTGAACTTATCTGTAATTGGATTCAAGTTCCATACAGAAACGGAGTTACATTGAATTCTTTGTGGAGGGAAACTTATAGAAGCTCAAGGCAGAAGAGAATCAAGTGTTGATGAAAGATATGGTTAGTTTGGTCTACAATCTTTGGCATACTAAAAATACATCTCTGTGGAAGCAAAAGGTTTATTGTGCAGATGTAATCTGTGATAATAGTCTCAAGTGATTACAAAACTTGATAGTTTAGAAACTAGTTAATGGTGTAATGCTGAAAAGGAGTGGTTAGATGCTCTACAATAGCTAGATGAACACCCCTTGACCCGTTGTCCTCCTCAAGGGTAAGCCCTTGACTACTTGCACTACCTAATTTTGGTTTTATAAAATTGCATGCTCGCTTTAATATATATGAAACATATAACAAGTCCTTAACCCCTACCCCCCCCCCCCTTGCCCCCTTAATAATTAAATACTCATCCCAATACATTATAGAAAGTCACCCTCATGACTCTCAACATATGTAAGCCTTTTCCCAATTATATAACAAGTCACCCCAAGACCAGCTGGTTGCACCAATAAAAATAGGTGCAATCAGTCACACAAAAATTTGTGCGCATTCTAAGAAACAAAGTTGGTGGGCCAAGCACAAGTTGAGAGGTGCAATACTCTAGACCTTCACTGAGAAATTTAACATTTTTTATAAAAGTAAAGATGTAATGACAACTTTCATTACCTGATGAGGATTTCTCCAAGATCTCCAGTCTTCTGGCCTTCAATATACTCTTCTGTGTTTGCCAGCTGCAGGCAAGTCATTAATATTGGAACAATCAGGCAAGCATCTATGAAATACAACAATAGAACAGAAAGAAAAGCATCCACTAATTCAGAAGAAGTGTCATTAATATGCAATCAAACAAAAATGGCTTCTAGTAATTACCTGTAGATTCATGTAGCCATCAACTGACACAAGATAACCTGCAGAGGTCATAAGAAAAGCATTGTCACATTCATTTCCTCATGGCCAATTAAAATACCTATTACACCCAAATATTTATGAAAAAGAATGGCAATCCCTTCTTTCCTTTTCTCTCTTTTTTTTTTTTTTTTTTTTTTTTTCTGAAAACCTATTCATAGTCATTGGACTTGCCAGCAAAAACAAAGGTAAGCTCCAGAAAACAGTCGTGAAACTAAAGAGAAATAAGGGCAGAAATTCATGACATGAAAATTAGATTTCCTGATCACAAGAGAATTACCTTTGTACTCCATTCCCCACTTCAGCTTCACAATGACAGGTTTTCCAGTTAGATTGTTCAAGAAAGGTTTAGGATTTACTGGAACAGTCTGCAAAAGTAAGCACGATTATTAAAGAAATAGTTTAAAAAATCATGGTAATCAGAAGATGAAACGTACAACAATTTGGTGGAAAATCTAACACTCTAGCAGCTAAAACTAAATTACTAACTCCCAATATAACTCGTTACCCTCTTTCCCCATTAGTGAGCTGAACAAAAAGTCTGAACTGCATTTCTAGACCATTAGGTTCCAGACAACCAATGCTACAAAATTCCTCATATATGTGGTAAATCATTTTTCATGATGGTAATTAGATAACAAGATAAGGCAAAATAATGCTTCAGATACTTTCTTGTTTGGATAAGTCTATAATACCTGAAATTGAACCAATTTTGGAGATTTTAGGATCCGGTGCTAAATACCCTTGAGATTGTAAGGAATGCATCCTGATGTCATATAATGTTGTTTGGAACCATATATACCACCAATCGGTTATAAAAAGTCCCATGGTGGCCTTAAATTAATGAAGGGAGGCGTAAATTGTACATGGCTAAATTAACAATTCAAAGGCAAATCGGAAGGTTCCAACAACCCAAATGCACTCCTTGGGTGTTGTGGGATAGATGGAAAGCACCACGGCCTCTTTCCTTTTCGGACCCAGAAAACCAAAATTGAAGGCTTATATAATCCACGCTTTTGAGCCAATTTAAAAAAAAAAAATCCAAGATTGAAGTGAATGTATGGGGTGTCCCCCTTGGTCATTTAAGTTGGTTTGGAACCATCAACAAGCCTACCAATAGGTTTATAAAGATATGAGGTTCAACTATGTGGCTATTTCAGAATATATTAGTAGTGAAAAACTGCAAGAGATGATTGTTTATACCACCAACTTGACATCCCAGAGTGTCGTGAATCCTTTGTCTTCATTAGTGTTGTTGAATATTTACAAATTCATTACTTACCAACATCAATCATGAAAAACGATTTACCACATACTCCCTCCGTTCCTGAAAGTTCGACTCACTTTACAATTGCGCGATTTCCAATGAACATCTTCGACCATGAATAACCCCGGTTGTGTATAAGTTAAATTTGTAAAAAGTTGATATTTGGATTATTTATAATAAGGGGAATTTAATATGATCTCACATGCTAATTTATTTATATTGTATAGCTCATAAAATGTGGTCAAAGTTATTTTATTTTGACCACATGAATAGTAAGTGAGTCGAAATTTCAGAAACGGAGGTAGTATATGTTATATTAAAATATTACTCCACATTAGGAGGATGCTAATGGATTAACTGATGGAGAAATCTACAAGGACTTGTAGAACCAGAAAAATTCATAAACATCTCAAAATCTCATATGCATTTCACTCTTCCACTCATACCATCCAAAAAGGGGCTGAAGAACAACTTAATGTATCATTCAATTCATTAAGTTAAAGAAGATGAAGTTAAGCAAACCACAACATCACCTTATAAGGAAAATATTACATCGCAAACAAATGATGTAACCCAAATATGTTAAGAGTACTAATCACAATGACCAAGCAGCCAACATAATATTAAGTAATAAAATTGCCACTAGAATTGGTTTTTTTTACAATTCATCTCGACATGGCCACACTATATTGAGCAAAAGCATTGCGAAAACGGTTTCGGCTCATGATTCTCAACAGGGGCATAGAAATACTAATCACATTTTGTCGATTAATTTTGATCAATCAATCCAACTAAGCATTAGACTCTCACGTTTACTACAAAAAGCAGGCATTAAAGAAGACGTGCTCATAGGAATTACACAGAGATATCAGAAATTTGACAAAATAAAGTAAGTTTATACCGCCATTTTAGCTTCACAGTCAAGAGTGTCCTACAATTCTCGGAAAAAGGGTTAAATTACCAAAGCCTGCAACACATTAGCGACCAAAGTTGAGTCAATTATCAATGTAAGCTCGAAAAAATGGTTAAATTCTTCGAGTAACTACAACAATAGTTCAATAATCCTCCTCAGAAGAACCCTAAATTGAGTATATTGACAATAAATTAACGAATAATACTAGATTGTTAAATTGATATTCGATGATTTACTAAAACATGTTACCTCAGAAGCTGCTTTAATGGAGGAGAGAAAGCTCACGAGCCGCTTCAATGGAGAGTACGGTCCAGTGGAGTAGAGAGAGGTAAAGGGGTGAAGCGAGGCAGCGCAAACGTGAAATAGGTCTAGTATTGTAAAGAAAAAATTATTGGAGTAAATGAACAACTTTCAAGTTCGAAGACCGGAAAATTAAAATCCAAGACTCAAAATTGGATTGATAACTCCAGTTCAAAACTCGTAAGGGATCCATTTAAGAGTTTTAGACCAATATTATACGAAGTTATTTTTTAAAACATCTTAAGAAAAGTTTGGTTTAAGTAATGTAGATATGAGGTAGTTTAGAATGGATAAACTCATACATAATACGGAGTATTTGTTTAAGAAAAGGCTATGAGAAAATCTTAGTCATAGCTTAACGTCGTCTGAGTTTAGAATAAAGGAGAAATAGCAAAATTTTAATTTCCATCCTTCATCATTGTGTCTTAAGATGCCTTTGGCTTGGCTCGTATTGCCTTTCTCATAGCCTTTAATTATGCAAGCTAAGACGCTACCCTCAATTTTGCAAAAATAAATGTATTTTTTTTTTTTACGGTAAGGAGAAGGGCCCTATCGGGCCGGAACCTCTTACAGGTTCAACCCGACCCGGGTTAGTGGGCTAAACAATTCTAGAGTGGGGGGAGGGTAAGGGAATCCCCACCCCAAATTGCCTTTCATAGGGTTTGATCAAACTTACCACTAGACCAAGCTTATCCCAAATTACCTTTTTAATTGTGAGATGACAAATCTTACCACTAAAGACCAAGCGCTTGGTAAAAATAAATGTGATATGCTAGAGAATGTAGCATAGTCTTTATGCTATTAGGTACTCATAAAATACAATGTTGAATCTAGATCGACTATGCTATTAGGTACACATAATTCAAAACTCAACAAATAACGATAACTTAACATATTCTTTATGCTATCAGGTACACATAAATTACATTGCTGACGAGATTTGATCACAATTTTAAATTCTACTATCTTTAACTTTATTAGGGTGACTAATGCGCGTGCCATAGCTAGCCTTATTCGGAGAGCTTTTTTAGTTGTTGGTTACATTAATAAGGGAAAATATGTAAATAAATACTTTAGGGGTATATATGTCCGGACACTATTCTAAATAGCTTAACAAATAAAGGTAATTAATTTTAATAAAGGCAAATTAAAAACTTGTTACACTAATGACAGAAAACATGTAAATGCACATTTTAAAAGATATAATTGGCATTATACTATTCATAAGAGTATTCTTGTACTTTTTATAAGGCATGGAATCAACTAAGGGGGTGTTTGATTCATCAAGTTGGAATGAATTGACATGAAATCTCATATTAGAGAGGTATGGATTCTAAAATTCATACTAGTCCAAAGTTGTTTGGTTTTATTGTTGAAATGGTTTCTATCCTTCATTAATAGAATGGATTGTGAATCTTTGGGGGAGGGGTGGGTATGGGATTCCATGGGTATGAGGAGGAATTAAAACCCTTTGGGTATGAGATTCCATTACTAAAAGGGATTTGTTAAACATCGCCCGCAAATTACCATATAAAGCCCACAAATATGACTTGGTGTGACAATTATGCCCATTTTCTAAAATTGAACAAATCTCGATTTAAAAAATGTAGAGCCGTACTGGCTCGCCGGGGGAGACCGGAGGGCAGGCCGGAGATGCGGGGGACGCCGGAGGTACGTCGTCGTCGACGGAAAACGAGGTAAGTCACCGTTAAAATTCACGGTTTACCGTAGGAGTGGCTCCGGCACCTAGGATGGACACCCTCACCGTAGCATGGACGTCCAAGCCAGACGCCAGAACCACCACACTGGCGTCCTGGCACACGCCACCTATATATATATATATATATATATATATATATATATATATATATATATATATATATATTTATTTTTTAAAAAAAAATCGAAAATGATTTTTTTTAAAAATTCGAAATGGGTTTTTTTTAAATTAATTTTGAAAATTCGAAATAGGTTTTTTTAAAATTAAGTTTGAAAATTCGAAATGGTATTTTTTTTAAATTTAGTTTGAAAATTCGAATTGGGTTTTTTTAAAATTAAGTTTGATTGTTGAGAAAGGTTTTTTTTTTTTAAATTAAGTTTGACAATTCGAAATTGAATTAAAAAAAAAAATTGGAAATGGTTTTTTTTTTGTTTTTAATTTATTTCAAATTGAAAATTCAAAACGGTGTTTTTTTTTTTTAAATTATGTTTAATAATTTAATGTGTTTATGTATGTAGTGAGTAGATTTGTGTTAATGTATACCAAAATATTTAATTGTTTATGTGACTTTTATAAATGATTGTGTTTAAAATTTGTATGTGTATGTGTATGAATAATATTATACATAATATGTTTTTTTTTGTGTTAATTTTGTGTAAATATAGAAATTAAATGTATTATCCGTTAAATGTATTTATTATAATATATAATTGATGCAGGTTTATGGTGGAGACGGAAATGATTACAGTGGGATATTTGGACATGATGGTCCATTCGAAGAAGCTCAACAAGCGATTGATTGGGCAAAACAGGTTGCAATTGCAGCTGGATTTTGCTTGGTAGTAGTAACTCATAAATCTCAACGGGATGGTAGAATGGATCGCATTTTGAGATGTGACCGTTATCGCAAAAGAGAAGAAAGAGATTTTCGTACAACCACTCGGTTTGATACAAAGCGGAAAGGCTGTGGGTGTGTGTTCAGAGTAAAGGTCCGACAACTACGGAGTCTTGACGGTTGGGAAGTGATTGGTTACTCTAAATGGGGGTATCACAACCATGAGATGATAGTATATGAAGAGGGTCATCGACAGCTGAGCGGCTTAAGTCCTGCTGCGAAACTAGTTATGAAAGAAATGAGTGATGCTCAAGTCAAGCCTGCTAAAATATTAGCATCTGTGTTAGAGAAATTTCCAGAAGACCATCCAAACCGAAGACACATCTACAACGTCAGACAGCAACTCAGGTTTGAACGGTCAGAGGGAAGGAACCCTGTACAACAGCTGCTACACCAGGCACAATCACGTGGTTACCTGTTCTGGTTTGATTCTGATGAAGATACAGCGGAGGTGACTCATCTTTTCCTTGTGCATCCTGATTGTGTTGATATGATCAAGTCTTGGCCATTTGTGATTTTGATCGACTCAACGTACAAGACAAACAAGTACAAGTTCCCACTGGTTGAGATCATGGGGATGACTCCAACGAACCAGAACTTTCTGATTGGTCATGCAATCATCAAGGATGAGACGGCTCCAAGTTATTATTGGGTCTTGGAGAAGCTGAGAAACTACATCGGGCCTAATGTTCATCCAGCAGCCATCGTCAGCGACTGTGAGGGAGGTCTCTTTGCCCCCATAGCAGAGCTGTTTCCAGAATCGAAGCACTTATTGTGCACATGGCACATCAACAACTGCGTGAAAGTGAAAGCCTACAACCTTTTCAACAAGAATTTGGAAATGGCAGAGAGATTGGTGAATGGTAAGTGGCGGAAGATCCTATAGGCTACCACAGAGGAAGCGTACGAGCGAGAATTGGCTAACTTCAGGGATTCGTACCAGTGGTGTCCGGCACTGGTGGACTATGTGATGCAGCAATGGGTCCCTCACAGGGAAAAGTTTGTCAAATATTGGACAAACCAGGTACTTCATTTCGGGAACACTACAACATGTAGAGTTGAGAGCGCTCATAGAGCTACCAAGGACTGGATTGATTCATCGACCGCTGCTTTGGATACACTGTTCGATAGACTTAACAAGTCAATTGAAACTCAGAAGAACGGCATCAGGAACTCTCTAGAGGACTCCAGACGACGACATGGTACGATGTATAGCCATTTAATATTTAAGATTCTCCATGGTCGCGTGTCGCACTACTGCTTGGGGTTGATTCTCACTGAGCTGAACAGGATGAGGGACTTGGCTGACGAAGTGTATGCTCGGTGCGGGTGTGCTATTTCAGTAACTCATGGATTACCTTGCGCATGCACCATTCACCGCGTTATTACAGAAGAAAGGGGGTCGTTACATGTTGATCAGGTTCATTCATTCTGGCGGACGCTCGTTATTGGTGAGCATGCAGATACTCAAACGGCCGACCGTGAACAGGAGGAGTTGGAGCCGTTTCGTTCGATGTACGACCGAGTGTCCTCCAGCCATCCTTCTATTATTTGTGACGCTACTCATGTATTTCATGACATGTTCCACACGTCTACCTTAGATTTTGAGGAACCCGAAGGAGTTGACCGTCCTCGAAGTCGGCAACGGCGGAACAGGAGTGCGTTTGAGTATATCCGTGGTCTTGGTCGTGGTCGTGCTCGTGGTCGGACATCGTCATCTAGTCGTAGTCAATCTTCATCGTCTGTGAATATGCCCCTGAGAACTGGTACGTTTTGGTTTTTTACATTGCACATTGTTTATAAGGTTACTCCTGCCTTCTTAACTGTGTTTAATTATATGGTGAATAGGAAGAAACGATGTTGATCAGTTTCCGTACAAGGACAGGATACCTGCGATCATCATGTCGTACTTGGAAGGGTGGAATGATGTAGTCGGAGATGGTAATTGCGGATTCCGGGTCGTGGCTGATGTTTTTCAAACGGGCGAAGACAACTACGGTTTGGTGCGTCAGTTGATGTACAGCGAAATTGCCTCTAACCGAAATGTTTATCGTCATGTGTACCAGGATGACTTGGATGGCGCTCTGCGGCGTATCCAGTGGGGAGGTGGACCTTGCGGTCAAAATCATTATTTTGACGCGCCCCTAGATCTGTTTAGCGTTGCAAACATTTACAAGTGCGCAGTCATGCATTTCGGGCTGGGATTGCATAGTCAAGCTTATTATCCTTGTACCACGGTTCTCCCTTGGCGTTCGCGTGAGACTGTCACCACACCGGTCAGAGAGGTAGCTATTGTGTTTCTTGGGTCGTCATACAGACATTTCATCCGACTAGACATGTCATCCGATTTTCCAGTGCCACCGATTATACCTCGGTGGTACACCATTCGCACAGCGAGCGTAGAGGGTTGGGATGCGCTATATCATGACCGGATCCACGAATGGAACACCTTAGCTGCATTTTAGTTTTTCATGTTTACATTCTTCCTATGTAACCTTATTTGTACGTTGCTCTTTTAATGAGAACATTAATTTTTTATATTGTATTGCTTACTGCATTCTATATGTTGCATGGGTAAGTTGCGCGGATCCACGAACGGTTATGTTAAAATTTAAAAACAGCAATGATAATATGTCTAAGTTGAAAGCTAAAAGAACAATCTAAAATGTTACAAACTTAAAACATAATGTCTAATTTAATAAATTAAAACGATAATATTTAAAGTGCTCTATAAATAAAATGACAAAACCATCAGTAATCCCTCCTCGACGCCGACTCCCAATGCGTAAGGGTCTGTTCCAGACTATCAACAGCAGCTCTCACTGTTGCACTCATGCTGTCCTTCTCCAGAGAGAGTTTCTGTACGTCCTGCATTATCTTTCCCATCCACTGCATACAACAAAAAATAAAAGATGAAATACAATAACAACATATAAAACTTGATTAAAAAACAACGATAAATATTTTATGAGACATACCGCTTCTATGGCAGTAGGCAGTGGCACATAATCATCATCGCTGTGGTCGAGATTTGCGATCAACCTCGGGTGCGAATACCGGTTGAACCAATTCATGTAGTAGTGGTCACACATGGGAGGAACCCCAGAGGGCGGCCGCTGCAACTCCGCAGTCCATAAGCAGGCCACCATCGGAAACTGGTCCCACGTCCCAGTCATGATATCCGGCCATTGCACGACGTAGTCCCTCGACGATGCAGGTCGGACCGCCTTCATCGGGCATGCCGGGGGAGGAGGGACAACTTGGACAAATCCAAGCTGGCGAAGACAACGCTGGGGCATGTACGCCTCGACGATCTCACGATACTGAATGAGTCCCGTGTACAGGGTCCTGGGTACCCTAACACTAGGGTTCGGGCCGAAAGGCATCCAGTTCACCTGCACATAGTTTTAAAATTTAATAACATGAATATAATATGTGCATGTAATAAAATGTAGAAACAATTTATAAACGTTACCTCTAAGGGGGACAGCCTGTCCAGCAATAACCGTATCGATCGGAGGCGGTCAACGGACTTCTTCTCCGAGCGCGGACTCCACGCACAAGCACACGACATCCCCTCATCAATAGGAACCGGGTCACAATGTGGTCGCAATGCAGGAAAGTACTCGTATATCCAGGTCTGCAATAAAGTCAGACACCCAGTGATACCTGCCGCGTCAGCCCGACTCGCAAATCCTAGTTAGCGATACAAATACGCCAACGTAGCCGATCCCCAAGAAAACTGGCCTACACTGTCGGGGTCACACGCCTCTACTACGTCGCGTGGCCTGAGCTTGTTTCCGCCGCTCTTATCCGAAAACAAGGTACATCCGAGGAGTAGAAAAACATAAGCAGCCAGCTGTGCGTCGTGCGTCCTACGTGCACTGGGGTACAAACACCGCTGCAACACGGATGCGATCTTCACACCACCGTGTTCCCAAACACCAAGCGCCTCGGTGTACAGTGCAGCCCTGTCCACCGCCAACAACTCCGCCAGCAAATCTGCCTGATCCGCATCAGCCACAGCACAAAGTCGTTTACCCTCAACACGAATCCCCAGAATGGCCTCGACGTCATGTAACATGATCGTCAGCTCACCGAACGGAAGGTGGAAAGAGTTTGTATCCGGCTGTCATCGCTCAACAAAAGCCGTGATCAGCGTACTATCAATCTTATCGTGCATGGTGGCAGGAACGTGATTCACCCCAGTGCCCTCCAGTCGCTCGAACATCTCGCTCTCCGCCGGCCAAGCCTCAGCCCATGTACGCAAAAAGCTACAAGTCTTTTCCCGGGTATGACATTTCAACAACCCCGTAACTGAAGGCCTCTCCTGGTCCTCCCAAATACGGACAACTATGTGTCCTAGAAAGCTAGGAATCACACTCCCGTCAACAGGCCCACCGGGCACCTCACTCCTAACAACCCAAGAATCATTAACGGCCCTCGACCGTTTCCTGCTTGCCCCAGATACAGTGGACGCAGATGATGTGCCAGATCTACTAACAAACCTACCACCCCTACCCTTACGCACCTCTACCATATGTGTCTCGTACATGTCATCAACCCTATGACTGAATGGACCGTAATAATCATACGGTCCACTCCCATCGTCCACATCCTCATCCTCATATGCGCCCTCCTCCTGCTCCTCCTCCTGATCACCCTCCTCAGCATCATCATCGTCATCGTCATCCTCATCCCGACGGTGGATCCGTTCTCTACGAGCCGAGACCGAAATACCACGAGACCTAACATGTCTATGCCCCGACCTCTCCACTGAATAGCTTCTACTAAGAAACTCTACATTCTTCCTCGCATCATGACGACCCAGTGAATTCTACAAAAAATTTAAAAATATATAAACATACAAAAGTTTTTTAGAAAAAATAAATAAATACCTACAGATACAAAATACCAACACTTCCAACATATCGTCATATTTATAAACATAAAATTAATAAAGATTATAAAAAATCAAAGACATAATAACTAAATAGGACACAAAACAAAAATTTCAAATTATTTCAACTAACTAAACATAGAAAAATATTATACGACATACACAAATACACACATAATACCCTAATATATTACAAAATTTATGATTTCCAAAAAAAAATAAAAATTATTTCAAATAATTAAACATAAAAAATAAAAAACAAATATATTACACATACACAAATACACACATAATACCCTAATGTATTACACATTTTAAATAAAAAAAACAATTACACATTAACACAAACAATTTCCACATACTACATCAATTAAGGCATAAAAAATGTTTAAACATCAAACATAAAAAAAAAAAACATAAACACAAAAAAAATCTGATTTTATAAAAATAAAATATACACGATTTATAAAAAAAAACACATAAAGTTTATAAATATTTAAAAAAAAACAAAACACATTAACAAAAAAAAATTAGACATAAAACAAAATTATTTTAAATAAAACTAAATTTCTGATTTTGCAAAATAAAAAAACAAAAACAAAAAAAACAAAAACAAAAACAAAAAAAACAAAAAAAAAAATCAGAAAAAACAAAACCAAAAAAAACAAAAAAAAAAAAAGGGACGGGCGCCTGGCCAGGACGCCCACCCACTAGCGGTGGCGCCAGCTCCGGCAGCCGTAGCCAGTGGGCAGGCGCCTGAACTGGACGCCCACCCATTGGCACAGGCGCCAGATCTGGACGCCACAGCCAATGGGCTGGCTTCTGGTTTGGACGCCTGGTCCGGTGGCTGGGCTTCCAAGCCAGACGCCACGCCACCGGCCTTGGCTGCCGGACCTGCCGCCCCACCACGCGCCACCGTCGCCTTTTTTTTTTTTTTTAAAAAAATTATTAAATAATTACCTTGCCACCAGGTCGCTGCCTTTCCTCCGCCGTCGCCGCCGCCACCTCTTTCCCTTGCCGCCTCGACATTGTCGTAATTAATTTTTTTTAAGAGAGGTAGATTTTCTGATTTTTTTTAGAGAGAAGTAGAGAGTGTTTTTTTTTTAAAAGGAAAAGGGCAATAAAGTCACACCAAGTCATATTTGTGGGCTTTATATGGTAATTTGCGGACGATGTTTAGCGATTCACTACTAAAAATCTCAACCAAACAAAAAACTAGATGGAATGGATTCTAACTCCATTCCAACCCATTCCAAATAATCCAACCAAACGACCTTAAGCTAACTAATATCCCACGATTTACAAACTAGTGCTCAATACAAGTACAAGAGTTTTTTTTTGGCAAATGAACTCGTTTAGTGAGCTTATTTATAGTTAAAGTTTATGATATTGCTCCTTAACATAAATCATTTACATAGTGCGTTCTGAGTACTCTCATTTTTTCTTTTTTTTACTCTCCATTGTATTTTTATGTTTTAAAAAAGATTTTTTATCAGATTGAAACTTCTCACGGATCAATCCGGTATGTGCGATTCTTAACATGTCACAAATTCACAACAGTCCAATGCAATATCGCAGTCTAGACAGTGGCGGGTTTAGAGTAAAGCCCAACCTTTCTTCAAAAACAACCTACCAAAAACACACAAAAATTGAAATTTCCCGGTTTCTATGCAAAAACTTCTCATTTCTGATAAATCGATATCAATGGCGTCTTCATCTTCACCATCACCATCACCATCACCATCACCATCACCATCACCATCACCATCACCATCTTCGTCAACAGAAAACTTGCTGAAAACCCTAACTAACAGAGGTTGGTGTTTCAATGACCTCAACCTTGATCAAGTCCGAGCAATCATCGCCGTTCATTCCGCCATCAAAGGTGATTCTTTCTCCGTCAATTCCTTGGAATCCGAGCTCTGTAACGTTGATTTGCGCTCCATTGGCGGAAAATCATTACCTGATTCTTCTCTCCTACGCAAGGCGTCTCAGTTTCTTCAATCTCCTAAAGTTCTTCAGGCAATTTTTCTCTCTCATCATCCTTAATTACCCCCAATTTTTAGGGTTTTTCTGGGTTTTGATTTAAAGTTCGAAACAATTCAATTTAACCCTTTTGTGGAATTTGGTGGTTAATTAATTGTCTTAGTTATCTTCAATTATTGTTCAAGGATTTTTTCCCCCAAGTTTATAGGGTTTTTCCAAGTTTTAGTCTAACATTGACCGTTATCGTTGGTTATATTTTGGGGGTTTGGGCGATTGCATTAGCTTCTCAAGCCTTGAAAAGTATCCCAAGTTGTTTTTTTTTTTCCTTTTCTTTTTCTGAAGAATTTCTTTATAATTTGCTTCTGTTGATTGTATTTAGGTTTTGGGTTTTGTAGATAGCTTCAGTGAAGGATATAAGTAGGAGCAGTGAAGTGCTTGGTTATAAGGGTTCGAGCGACCGGAGGCTTCTGAAGTTGATTTTGAGTGATGGACAATCTGAAGTTACTGCTGTGGAGTATTCTCCTATTCCGGCATTGTCCGAAAACGCTGTCCCTGGAACCAAGGTTACTCTCTCTTATGAATAATTGTTGCTAATGATTCGGTTATGCATTTGTCTTGGTTAGTTGATGATTTGGTTTAGTGATTGGCCTATGTTTGTGACATCTCTCAATATGAAAGATTTTTTGAATGAGCAATAGTTCAGTCTTCAATTTCCACTCTACTTTATTACTTCATAGAATATTTGATGATTTTGTAACATGTGTGGAGATTTTTATTGAATAGTTATCTTGACATAGGCATAGCTGCTTGTGGAAAGCCTCGTTTGAAAGAAAAAGTTGACGGACATATTGATCGGTGACAAATAGAAGGTGAAGAACAGTATATTTTGATGTTGATTTAGTATATTGTCATCTAAAGTTATTGAAAATTGCCAGTAGTGGCTACTCCAACTTTGTTAGAAATAGTCAAATAGATAGTACCTCTAGTTTTGATTATGTGCTATACATGGCTGTAAGCTTTGTATGCTGGAATCTTGCTTCATTGGAAATTCATGTTGCTAGAGAACAATAAAGGAGATAGTAGAATTAACATCAGCAATCATAGGTTGCACATATCTGCTCATCATCCTAAAAAAGAGATGAGCCCTAAGGAAGAAAAGACATGTCTTGGTCTGGTTGGAATTCAGAGAGACTTTGTTATCATATGGATTGATATGTGCTTTAAGTGTTATCATATGGAAGATATGTAAAGAAGAAATTGATTTATTTCTGTTGAAATTGAATGTGATTTGATGCTATCATCCAAGAAATGACATTGAAAATAAGTAGACTGTGCTCATCATTTGTGTAGCTGTTATTGGTTATGGGCTATGGTATACATTGCTTGGTGGTTATGGGGCTTATCTTAGTTTTGTTTATCGTTAGTTAACATTTATGAACGCAAGTTGTTGCTTATTGTCAGGTCCGTTTAGAAAAGAAAGTGGTGGTACACTATGGTATCGCGTGCCTTACTCCGGATGTGATTACTGTACTCGGAGGAGTTGTGGAATCATTGTATGAAGAGTGGCAGATGAACCAGAAGTATTCAGGTTTTGCCCGCTCCTCTCTGAGGCTAGGTCGAGAAGGTGATGCTGGTGGTCCCCCTCCATTTGAGAAATTGCAGATTGGAGGGCCTAAACTTGGTTTTGCTCGTACTGGTATACTTCTCATCTTGCTATTTTGTTAATTGAGAATAGGAAGATATTATTGAGGTGCTTGCAATCTGCACGTCGTTTGTCAAGCAGTAATTATTAATACATAAAACAGAGAAGGCTTTGATTATGCTGACTGCCACCATGGTTAGGGCTTGGGTTCTGAGTTTAGGCCTATATTCTATCAAGTGAAACAGAGCCTGTATTGTGGAATACATTTGACTTTTTACATGGATCAATTATTGCTGTAACTTCTCCTTTTGTGAAAATTATAATCCTTTTGTGTTTAATATACATATTGCATTGCCACAGCGGCATCAGCTTCCAGGAACACCAGAGTTACTGTTGCCAAGTCTTCCAGAGAAACCGATGTCCGGCAGGTGGATCAAAAGCAAGCCCCTAATGCTATAGCTGATGACGCAGATGCTAATCTGAAAACTGGTTCAATTTCCCAGAGAGATGAAGAAAAGCCAACAAGCTCTGATACTAGACCAAAAGAAGGTCCAGCTTCTTTGATCTTACTTCTTATTAATTCATTCTGTGCATGTTCATAAAACCACATGTTCATAGTTTCATATCTCAATTTTTTTCTTGTGCTCTCCATATTACTTTAAGTTCACTGAGAATAGATTGGTTACTATGATGATGTTGACTTATTATATCAATAAAACTGACTGAATGAGTTGGAATTTCTTGCCTGCCAGTGACGGAGTACATCCCTATTCAGAATCAAGCAGCTGCACAAAAACTCCTGCAAAAAATGAATAATCCAAACCATGGCAATGAAAGACATAGAGGTTCAAGGTACAAGGGAAGGGGTTATGAAGAAGAGAAACAGGTTTTCACTCTAGAAGAGTGGGAAAGGAGAAAAGCTGAGAGAAATCCAGCAGCTAGGAAAGAACCACTTGATCTCAGTCATGACGAGGCTCTTGCTCGGCAACTTCAAAACCAGTTTAATTTAGAAGATCAGGTGAGTGCCTATTACTCTCTTCAAATAATTTAATGCTCAAATGCATTTTGGGTGACTTTAGAAGTCTTCTAGATAGTGGACGTCGTCTCTGATATATGCATCATTTGATCTATGATTATATTTTCCTCTCTTCCTTTTCTTCCCTGTGAGTTCAATTTGCCAAACCTTATAAGATAATCAAAATTTGAAGTTATACTTTACAGTATCTCTCAAACATGAAGATTTAGGGCTTTTGTATTCAATCTGTAATATTCCTTGTTTCCCCTTCAGGAGCAGCGGGGTCCTCAGAGAAGCAAGGCAGAAGATATCAGGTTGAGCATGTTCAGTTTTGAAAAAGACGACAGTGGAGATCAAGGAATGTCTGGTTCAAGAGGGAGGGGAAGAGGGAGAGGAGGGGGAAGGGGTAGGGGTAGAGGAAGGGGTAGGGGAAGAGGGAGAGGAAGAGGTTGATGATGCTGTCTCTCCCTGGCCTTTTGTTTTTCTTCCTGTTTTAGTTTATACTCCTTACAGCAACTCTTATAAAGTCTTTCTTTGAGTTCTTTTCTGGTTTAACCTTAAAAAGGTTGTAACTATCCTGGGGTGCAATCTACAGCCAAGAACTATGTAACCCTTTTAATCATTAGTTTTTTTTTTTTTTTTTTTTTTAAATATCATGTCATCAAATTTTGAAAAATACCTGTTGAATTTTGATAATTCGGTCATGTGAGGTTGAAAAGGATCATGTTGAATAGGGAACGATTGAATATCGCCTAATAATGGAGCTAAGAGTCAAACTAGACAACCTTACTCAACTTTTGGAGAACTATTACTCCAATCAAATGGGAAGGAATTATGTCCAAATTTCTACCATAAAAAAATTATTTACGTCGATTGAAATTCATCTTTTGACTTTGAGATTAGGGAGTAGGCTTGTGCCAAATTTTGCTCTCTTTACTATATTGGACTTGTCCGGGCTGATGCCAGATTGTGTCTATTCCGTGCCAGCTGGGCATGTTCAAATCCAATACACGTGCTGACGTGAAAACGTGATATACTACGTAGTGTGTTCATTCTTTTCAAGCTTGACTGCTTGAGAAATATACGAGGGAAAAATAAAACTAACAATTTCCAGTACGACGGCTTCGACCTCAACCACTCCTCTTCACAATGTACATCTTTCAACTTTATAACCTGTAACAAACTTCATTTTCTCACAAATTTCCCCCAAAAAAATCAATTCAATGTTCGAATCATCCATAAAAATGGAGAGAGCTTTGATTCAACCTCTACTCGCAGCATTAATGGCGGCAATTATCGCTATTCGATCTTACAGGAAGAAGTCTCTCGATCTTTCTGGAGCTTTCTTCGGATTTCTTGTCGTCTTCATTCATCTCGCTACTAATATCAGGTTCAATCTCACTTTTCAAACTTCTCATTTTTATAATTTCTGGAAATTTGTATTTGATTGACTTCGATTTTGTTTATATATTAGTTGATTTGTTGAAGATTTTTGTTGAATTTGGTTTTGATTGCGATTTATTTTGGCGAAATTGATTTTCTAGGGCTGGAGTTTTGTTGTTAGTGTTTTTCTTTACTTCATCTAAGTTGACCAAAGTAGGAGCCGATAAGAAAAGTAAATCTGAAGCTGATTACAAGGAAGGCGGTCAAAGGAACTGGTACTACATTTTGCTTCTTCTCTGATTTTAATTGCTTGTTAGTAATGCTGGATAATAATTTTTGTAATTAAGTACTGTATATGATTTTGCATGTATTAGTGTACTGTTTGTTATGATCATATGTGATCGTTTTGCTATTCTAGATTAATGAAATTATTTGATGAAAGAAATTTATGCTAATTATAATCAGTTTTTTTATGAAATGTAAAGAATATGAGAGTCAAATTTGGCTAATTTACGGAGGAGTACTAGTCTTATGACCGTGCAAAACATGGTTTTATAGAAGGAATGGAGAAAGTTGGTGAAATTAGAGAGAGAAAACCAAGTGAACAACTTATTAATAGTCTTCATTACTACAAAAAAAAAAAAAAAAAGAAAAAAAAAAAAGAAGAGAGTTTAGTAGGATGATACATGTAAGCCTGGGTTTGTAAATTCTAGGTATTGATACGTTATGAATTGTGTGAAGGACACGAAGTAAGATGTTGCAAGCTACATAAATATGCTTAAAAAGATTATGTTCAAGCAAAGGAGCAGAACTTAATTTGAAGCGCTTGATATTCAGGTTTAAACAAGTGTAACTTGAATTTATTGGAGTTGCTGTAGTATATTTGGTAGTAATTGAAATTTTTAAGGTTCATAATCATTATCAAGAATCTGCCTTATCTCTTCGGTGTGAGTAATTGATCCTTGTATTCTTTGTTTTGACCTGGTGTCTTTCTAATCCACTGGGCTCTAAAGGATACTAAGCCATCGGACTTTTCAGGCTTGATCTTGTTTTGACATTGATATCGAAAACTTGTTTCTCATATTAACTTTGGATTCATTTTTCTGGGAATATAAATTACTTTGAGGCGTAATAGAGTGCTTCATCTTGGATAGGAAGGATTGAGAAATGTGAATGGACTACTTCCAAAGTTTTGTGGTTATGATTGGATTCTAGCTGGATACAGTATTTTGAATACAGAATTTTCTCCCAGGTTAAAATGTATAGGTTTGTGAATTGTAAATAAGCAAGCAATGAGTAGTTATCATAAGTTCTGAAGGCTTGAACTCTTCGTTGTTTTGGTGATTTTTTTTTTTTTTTTTTTGCTTCAACTTCGTACTGCACCTTATGCTTTGCCAATTTGCAGGATACAGGTGCTTTTTAACAGTGCCATTTCTACTGCTTTGGTTGTGACGATCTGGAAGTTGGTAGCACTGGAAGATAAGTGTTTGGATACTAGAGAATCTACTCTTATCACAGCACTATTGGGTGGCATAATTGGTCACTACTGTTGTTGCAATGGAGATACTTGGTCTTCAGAAATCGGTGTACTTAGTAATGCACAGCCTCGACTAATCACAACCTTAAAGGTGACAATTATGACTTGGATTTACATAGATACTCATGGTTTTATGACTTTAAGCATATTAATAGTCTAACATGAATTGTCAAGTGTCAGTGTCAGTGTGACATAGGGTGACGATGCCCTCTTTTTTTTTCCTGCAGATACTCTTTAGAATGATGAATGCATTTCTGATACTTTTCTTTAGTCGACTATATTATATCGTTATATATTGGAGGTTTGAAGATGCATTAGAAATGTAGACAATAGATTTAAGCATGCCGGGGGTGCTGCAGCACGCATGATGCGTCACATGATTCGCATCTATGCCGGGGGTACATTTGAGCATTAGTTGTTCGCAGTTGTTGGTATACATGTGTCTGATACTCTAATGTGTGTATGCATGGTTATTGACTCCCACATATTATCTAACATCTGGCATTTTGTTATCTTAGTCATTCAGCAGATCAATGAAAGTTGATTCTAATGTACTTGAGAATAGATTGCTTATTCTGATTTTTTGTTTTTCCATGCCTATCAGGTAGTTCGCAAGGGTACAAATGGTGGTGTCACAAGAACAGGGCTCCTGGCAGCTGCAGCTGGAGGCGCTGTGATTGGACTTTCTTTCACTGTGTTCGGATATTTTACTATTAACTGTCCTTCTGATGTGGCTTTGAAACAACTTCTGGTTATACCCCTTGCAACACTTGCTGGACTGTTTGGCAGTTTGTTAGATTCTTTATTGGGTGCTACACTGCAATTCAGCGGGTTTTGTACTGTTCGTAATAAGGTAAATTTTGAAATAATTTCAGACAGTCCAGGTGTCTGATTGTGCTGATTATTCCAGATTCAAACATACATATTCATATAAAACGAGGAAATGACCTGTGTTAAATGTACAACATTTCAAGTCATGTTAGATTCTCTTCATATTTTCATTGAGAGCCTATGTATGCATACACAAAAATTACTTTGTGCTTTTGTAGTACATGTTTTAATCAACGTATGCTTGAAGATTTTTCTACAATATCTGTCTCTTATTGCTTTTAATGTATTCTATCACTTTTTCTCTTCATAGAGTTCATACATTTTGTTCCGCACATGTATCTAAATCTTTCTGCACACTTCTGTCGTACTTTTTGTTGCTGCTTCTCGTTTTAACTATCTTTGATTTTTCATAAAATTGACTAGCACCCTCCTAAGGTGACTGTGTGGCCTGTACATGTTGGACTGCCTTGCCTCAAAGGTTTCGATTCAGATATTTTTGCTGACTACTAAGAGTAACTGTGATGCTTATATGTATATGCATGTAGAATGAAAGTGCTCATGAAGTCTTAGAATTTTTATTCTTTCTAAGCTTTCCAAATCTCAATGCTACTTTTTTTCTACGTACTGTCATGCTTGTGGAATAATTGGCCATGTTTCTTGTCATAGTTATTTTGTAATTTCGTTGATAAGAGAGAATTAGTGAGGAATATACTGACATTTTAAACAGTACTGGGATCACATTTATACTCTACTACTGCACTGCTGATCTACTATGTTATAATTTATGCACATCTGCTTCAGCTTGCAGTTTTATCTGTGGAAGTAGTTCACTTTGAACATTTCTTGTGTGAAACTGAAATCTCTCTAACATTGTCACAATATTAAAATTTATCATTTTGCATTTGCCATCTTTCTTGATGATACTGCTGATAATCACTAATGAATTTAAAAATTGCCAATTGAAGGTTGTTGGAAAACCTGGACCAACTGTCAAGCGCATATCAGGCGTTGATATTCTAGACAACAATGCTGTCAATCTTGTCTCAGTACTGCTCACCACCCTGCTGACTTCTGTTGCCTGTGTGTACATATTCTGAGACCGTAAAAAATTCAGCTATACTATCTTCAAATTTTGATAGCCTATTCTCTGCTATAAGATGCTGAGTTGATCTATACACCTCAACATGAATTCAATAACTAGCTTGATGATGAAATCACGAGGGCTTCATAGTTTTTATAGACCAGACATTGTAGTTCTTAGTCTTCCCATTTTAAACTTTTTGAAATAAGTTCACATGTACATTTTCTGTTCTTACTTTCTGGAAGATTGAAACGATTGAAGTTGTCTGTAAGAAATATCTCGTATGTTGGAAAATTTGTTGAATACTGATGTTAGAAATGGCAAAGAATTTAATATTGAACTCTTAATTTTTATGACTATGTAGGAAGTACTTTACAAAACACCCAATTAATTATAGTCATACTAGTATTACATGAACCTCTTGCTGACAGAACTTTACGAATTCATCAAAGTGACAGCTAAAAACTAAACTCGACAAAAATATGATACAAACCCAGCTCAATCCAAATACAAATTCATCCACATAAAGCAGTACTATACAATAGTACAGAGTTTCTTTCTGAAACTAAGGCTCGTGCTTAACAGCAACAGCAGAGGATATCAAAGCAGCATTCACAGGTTTCGTAACAGCAGAAGCAGCAGCATAACGCAAAACAACTGCATTCAAAGTAGCAGAAAAAAGTGGCTTACTTAAAACTGAATTTAGTTGTTAACATTGAAACATCTATATACACACCAACAATATCTACTCAGCAGAAACATTTTATATTAATGTTTTTTTTTTTGGAATTATATTAATGTTTAATGCTTCCACATATATCAGACATTTAAGAAACACTGTATACAATTACTCTCACAACTTTATGATAATCATACAGTATAAATTATGAAAAATTTCAAGTGATTGAAAAATTAAACAAGTCCATTAAGTAAAATCTTGATTAAACTCTGTATTATTTTTTAAAATAAAAAAAAAATCTCGATGAAACAAGCTAAAAGAATGATAATTAATATTGAAAGAAAAAGAAAACAAACGTTGCATAGATGCATCCTTTCTCTTCATGGCGTCTCTTAACATGATCTACGTATGTTATTTCTTGAGCTGGAGGTGGCTGATCTGAGTACATTTTTACTCTCTTTAATTTCTTGCTCTGTTCTCTTCAAAATTTAGTACGAGCAATTGATTTATGTTTTCTGGTTATACTATGATTAAAACTTGGTTTATGTAGAAGAAGATTATAGTGTTAGCTTCATATTTGACAATTCTTGTTCTTGTCACACGTGATACCAGCCAATTAAATCATTCACATGTGTGAGATATGGATAACGTACACTTTTTTTTTTTTTTTTTTTTTGAAAGATGGATAACATACACATAATTAATCAATTCAATGTGATTGATTGCAAAGTAGTTGTTGCTGGTGGAAAAAAATTTCTCCACAAATTATATTAAAACCACACAATTATGTTATTGGACTATAGTACTGTAATTTACAAATATGGTTTTGGTTGTATCTTTATTGATTAAGAAAAGGGATAGTGACCTCTCTTCTCTTCCTTTTATCAAACCCCATTGTAAGGGCTTTCATCGGTTTTACCTTTCCTACATTATGATTTATTGCCAATCTTATAGACTATTTATTTATTTATTTTTATTACGAATTAGTCTATAAGATTGAGAAAGTTGAAACATTAGTGCTTACTAGCTAATTCCCTTACTCTACTATAAAACGAACTAAGCTTTGACATAGTAAATTATGGTCAAGATTGTGCTATGGTATAGGAGCCGATCAGAAACTAATCCATTAGTTGAGTAAGACTTGAAATTTGTATTTTGATTTAGAGATTGCTATTAAGGTTATTACTGTGGGTCTGTGGCAGTACAATCTACTTCCTCCGTTCTTTTTTGTACAACTCACTTATATTTTATGTGGCCTCCATCACACATGTTTGACCAATCATATCATTAATTACGTACTAGTATGAAGAGTGAAAATTTAATATTTGGACACCAACCATTTCAAATGAATAAGATCCTATATATTATAATATTATTCACTTTAATTAAAATCTTCGTGTATTAAAAAAAAAAATTGAATATAATGTGTGGAATAATTTTTTTATATGTTATGGTATCTAATGGACACCTCATCAAATGTATTAGGATCATACCCAAAGAGGTCAAAGACAGATGAAACATTTGTGCCTTTGTGGTAGTTATTAATTAACAATTGGCAATTTGCATCAAAATATCAAATAAAAACTAAATTATAGTGTAATTGTTGAGTTATTTTTTGTAAAATTTAAAGAGATAAGCCTCAATCATTGATCTCAGAAATTTGGGAAACTTGAACCACTTGATTTTGTAGTACTTGTCAAAAACACCCAATCATTTACATAATACAATTCCTTTGATGAATACACATACATAGATGAACTTTGAAAATACAATTCCTTTGATGAATACAAACATGGAATAAATATGATACAAACCAATCTTGATCTAAATACAAATCCTTTGACTTTGAGTAGTGTGACATACAATTCAGTTTATACACATACTTCCTCCGTTTACATGTATTCTTGTAACATATTTAGACACGTAGTTTAAATAAAAGATTAGAAGAGGTAAACGAACAACTCAACATAAATTATGCTTAAACAATCCGATTCTTCTCTCTTTACCGGTGTTTAAGTTATTTTAGTTAATTAATTTGTTTATGTTTACCTTCTCTAAATTTTTCCCCTTAAACTACGTGTGTTATTAGTATGTTCAAGGTAAATATAAAGGGAGGAAGTACATAGGCTTCTGTTTAACAGCAACAACAGATCAAGTATTGAAAAACGGAGGGAGTAAAACACAATTAACTAATTTGAAAATGTTGCTTTCAAATAACTATCACATTTCACCGTGGCAATAATTTAGCTACTAGTTTTTAAGTTACTAAGTAATGATAACATAGATTTATATATATTAAAAGTTTAGGTAATATGATTTCAAACAAAATAAGTTAAACCGAATAGAGCTTTTTTTTTTTTTTTTTTTTTTTTCAATTTGGATATCGATCTCTACAGTATGAGTTCATTAATTTGTACAAAAATATTTTCAATTTGGATATCGATCTCTACAGTATGACTTCAGGTCAAGTTGATTTCTCTTTATTTTCCTACGTTTGATTTTTCTCTAATTATTGTTATAAATCACCTTATTATAGTAAAACGATTGTTGATACTTGATATTATATGAATGTCCAAAAGACGGTGTACTTAAGTTCTTTAGGAATTAGAGGGAGTATGTATTGATTATGGATGATTGATTATGAAAGGATGATCAAGTGAACAAGAACAACTCACATCATTGTGACATACGAAGTACTTAAGTAGAACCCGTGTGTTCAATCTCCTAGGAATGTAAGGCTTGTTATTTTTATTTTTCTCTATTGCTTCCACTAAAGATTTCTTAGTTTAATTTGGTACAGCTATGGACAATAAGCTCAAAAGTATACTAGATGAATGGGAAGAGGACGCGAAAGTGAAATGTGTTCTAGTAGAGAGTAGTAGTTAGCCTCATTCATTCTGAGCTGGTAATCCATGCAACTTCAATTTGTATCTTATTTTCATGATCTTATATTATTTTAGCATCTGAATTAGTTCCATTGGATTTATGACCTGAAGTACTACTAAGCTAGTTGATATATATTTAGGTGGTGATGTGAAGTATATGACTGGAATTCAAGATTTATCAGCTCTGATTGAGGTTTGTTTTATGTTATGTTAATTCGGAGTTCCTAAGGAGTGGTTTTTAAAATCTGAAGAGTTTTTATATAGAAATTTTACCTGTAGTGTGTGTATTGATTTCTTGGTGTTGAGTTCCACTGTGAATTCTTTCATTATGCCTGGTGTCTTTATTTTCTAGTCGCCTTGAATTTATTTGTAGGTATTCACAGCAGAGTATGGATTGATTTGTAAGATATCTGAGTACAAAAAACCGTACATCAGCTTCATAGACGGCATAACTATGGGTATGGGTATTGGCTTATCAGGCCATGGCCATTACCGCGTTGTGACAGAGGTGCTGTTATAATTTGTTAAGTCTTTACTGATTCTTCTGAAGTCATTATTGCAAATTACATTATTATAGCTATGCCACAAAATAGTATTGGCTTGTTTCCTGATGTAGGGTTTTCGTACATAGCTGCAAACAGTCCAGGAGATGTATCAGTGGGTAAGCTAGCATGTCCCTTGAGGATCTTATGATGATAAGACCGTGTTTAATGTTTTTCAATGTGGCCTAACGAAACTCAAGCATAGTATATTGGAAAGTAAACTGAACAATTTAAATTTTCCTGTCATATCTGCTATCTAATCCGGCAAAAGAATATCTAATCCGGCTGATGCTTTATACATTGGCCTAGGGACACACTATGTGCCATCAAGTAACCTTTGTTCGCTAAAGGAGTCTTTGTTGGCATCCACTCTGTATGTACATTCTTTCTTTCAGTTCATCCATTGTTGGTGCTATATTTGTTGTTGACAAATCATGAAGTTATAAGAATGGACTTAAGTTCATCCTCTCTCATCTGTTTCAGCATTATTATGTCTGCAATCCAATCATTAATAAGCCAACTTTGGACAGTTCAGGGGATCCTTACCAGGATGTTGCAGCTACACTGTCAAATTACAGCACCAAGCCACATTCAGAGCCACAACTGAAGCTCCTTTTGACCTATATTGCTTCTGCCTTTAACGCGAACAAGTCAGTAAGTGAGATATTTGAGGAATTGAAAAGCCATCAGCAGAGTTCTGACGAAATAGGTAAGCAACTATTCTGTTTTCTGTAGTGATATCTAGTGCATCCTTGTAAACTTGTTACGCCTTTTCAGTCACTCACTCAATCACAATCGTGATATCTAGAGTACAGAATTGCTATTAGAGCTTCACTAAGAAAAGATGTCGATGAAGGTGTTCGTGCTCTTTTGGTCGACAAGGATCAGGTCTGTCTAATATCCATTTGAATTATAAACTGTTATAACCTTTGTTGTTGAATTTACATGGCTGCTGGCAGAATCCAAAGTGGACGCCGTCTAGTGTCAAGGAAGTTGACATGCAGGAAGTTGAGGCTATTTTTGAGCCATTTGAGCCTAACATTCCAGAATTGAGGTATAAGAGCTCTAAGGGGATTTCTCTTTCAGCCAAAATTTGAGCCAAAAATGTATCCAAATATCCAGTAATATTAGCACTGCAAATGGAATTGCAAATATCTAGTAAAATTTTAATCAACTTGATCATTACAATATTTGTCTACATTATTTTAATGTCTATATCACATTATCACATACTAGTGATACGACACGACAAAATCACAAGAGCTCATAAAAAAAAAAAAAAAAAGAGTATTGGTAGTTAGGAGTTTGGATACTTGGTTGTCAAAGATTTTGGGCTTCACTCTATGGGGCCCATGGCACGTTGCACTTTGCCTCAATGGGCAAATCTAAGGGATAAAGGATAGTAATAGTTACTTATATTGTAATTCTGTGATCAATTTTACCTATTAATCCTTTTGTATTTCTTGGTGTTTTATGCTTATATATTAACTTCAATCTATTGGTAGGTATTCACAGCAGAGTATACTTTAATTTGTAAGATTTCTGAATACAAAAAACCGTACATCTGCTTGATGAACGGCATTAATATGGGTATGGGTATCGGCTTATCATGCCATGGCCATTTCCGCGTTGTAACAGAGGTGCTGTCTTAATTTGTTAGCTCTTTGCTGACTTTTCTGAAGCTATTGCAGATTACATGTATTCTGATCTTTCCTTGTATAATTGTAACAGAGGACTCTATTTGCTATGCCAGAAAATAGTATTGGTATGCTCCCTGATGTAGGGTTTTCGTACATAGCTGCAAGCAGTCCAGGAGAAGGATCAGTGGGTAAGCTAGGCCGTGTTTGATGTTTCTCAACATCGCCTAATGAAACTTAAGCACAATATGCATGTTGGAATGTGAATAGGACATTACTATAATCTGTTTCTGTTATATCTGCTTCATGTTATACTTTTTTTTTCTTTTTCTTTTTTTTCATCCTGCAGGTGCTTATCTTGGTATGACTGGCAAAAGAATATCTAATCCGGCTGATGCTTTATACGTTGGCCTAGGGACGCACTATGTGCCATCGGGTTCTCTAAAGGAGTCTTTGTTGGCATCCGCTTTGTATGTGCATCATTCTTTCTTTTAGTTCATCCATTTTGTATGGATTGATGCTATTCCATAATTGTCACTATTCTCTCCCATCTGTTGCTGCATTGTTATGTCTGCATTACAATTTTAATAAGCCGATTTTGGACAGTTCGGAGGATCCATACCAAGATGTTGCAGAAATACTGTCAAAATACAGCATCCAGCCACATTCCGAGTCACGGCTGAAGTTGCTTTTGCCCTATATTGCTTCTACCTTCAATGCAAACAAGTCAGTAAGTGATATATTTGAGGAGCTGAAAATGCATCAGCAGAGTTCTGATACCAGAGGTAAGATACTCACTGTGCATCCTAGTAGATTCATTATGCCTTTTTGATCACTGTCTTACAGCACGGCCATGGTACAATCTGCAGTGGCTGGATGGGCCAAGGAGGCCTTGGAAGGGCTTGGGAAAGGCTCTCCATTCTCTCTGTGCTTAACACACAAGTATTATGCTAAAGTTGCATCAGCTGTCAAAAGTAATGATGTTCATCTGTCTAATGTGAGTCAGGAGCTTCTCATTTTCGCTGTCTGTATATCCTATTAATCATTTGCTCTCATTTTTGTTTTTCTTTTCTGTTTTCCCTGTTTGACATGTAGGTGAGTGAAGTGATGAAATTGGAGTATAGAGTTATTCTTAGAGTTTCACTAAGAAAAGACGCCGCAGAAGGTGTCCGTGCTATTCTGGTCGACAAGGATCAGGTCTGTCTAATTTCCTTTCAACTTATGTTCTATATTGCACAAACTGCACCTGTTATGCATAAGTACAGAACAAACTCAAAACTTGGTAACTGCAAGTCTGCAATAACATTACCTTGAATCTGTTATGGCATCCTTGTTTTTGTTCGATTGCCTTGAATCTGGCTCTTTGAGTGAATTAGCAAGGGGTGTCGTCGAGTTCTTGTTTGTCGATTTTGTTTTCTTCAGTTTATTTCATCTGTTGTTCTAACAATATTTTCATATCATTAAAGCCTTTGATGTTAATTTACATAGCTGACATATATTTTTACTGCTGGCAGAATCCAAAGTGGAGTCCATCAAGTGTGCAGGAAGTTGATATGCAAGAAGTTGAGGCACTTTTTGAGCCATTTGAGCCTAGCATTCCAGAATTGAGTTTTAAGAGCTCTAAGTGCAATTCTTTTTCAGCCAAACTTTGATTGAAATATGTATATCCATATATCCTATAAAATTACAGTATTTTATCTTAATATAGCCAGATAGGGGTAATATTCATTTATTCTTGCCAATAATGATTTGTTATGGTTACTTTCACAAAGGATTATCTATAAATTATTGTAATGGGTGGTTTTGGATTTGATAACCCAAGGCCAATGTAAGATTCCTACTTAGTAATTGGAAACTATCTCTTGCTTCTATTGATCACTACTTCAACATATTTTCAAAATTGTCGTATAATTGCACCAAACTCATTTTCAAGACTTTAAAGACTTAGTGTTAGGCCTCTTATGATTCCAAACCAACTTTAATAATCCTAGGGGACACATCATGCAATCACTTTACTCTTATAAAATTTTCCTAAAATTAGTCCAAAAACGCAGATATATACCCTTCAAATTTGGACAATTTTCAAGTTTTTCAAACTTACAATAAAAAAGGTTTAGGACGCTTCCCATAGACCCCACAAGACCCGGGGATTCCATTTGGGTGATTGAACTAGTTTAATTCACCTCTACTGTCAATTTAGTTGTTCACGTACACACTTTCTTTCATTAACTCAAGGTTACTATGGCCCATGGGCCTTTATTGACTGACTAGTGACTGTATATGGCTCCAAACGACATTATATAACCTTAGAATGTCTCCTTTACCATCACAACTTCAATATATTTTCAAAATTGTCGTAAAGGGTGTGTTCGGGTGTTTAGTAACCCAATGAAGGAAACTTGAACCCAATCCCGATTCCGACTACTCGTAGGAAGTGAGAAGATCCAAATAAATCCAACTCGTATCCAATCCGAATGACCCGCAAATAAAACTCTTAACCCCCCCCCCCCCCCCCCCCCCCCCCCCCCCCCTCATTTCACAAATCAAACTGATTACTATTGGAGTAAAACACAAGCCTCTTTCCTCCTTCCCCAAAATTGAGGAATTCAGGTTCAAATTGGAATATTGAGAGGAAAAGATTTGGGGCAAATTCAAACTTTTCCAGAAATTCAAATCCAGAGTCACTTGCTAGGTAAATAATCTTCCATTGCTGAACTCTTTCGATTTCAAACTTATTTTTTCATGTTTCAATTATTCATTGGCAAGCTCAGATTAAAGTTTAGATAAACTGTTTGGTATTTTTTGGGGACTTGATTATTTGTTATTAAGGTTCTTTGTAATTAGGTTTTCTATCTTCATCAATTTGGGTAATTCATTGAATTGTAGTAGTATTACAGATTTAAGTATGCATTTTTCTAGTACTTGCTGATTACTGAATTGTATTTTGTTTACTAGACAAATTAGGAAGAATTTCTGCAGCATTTAACTTTGTGTCAACAAATTCTGGTATTTTTTTTTATTTATTTTTAAGAAAGCCATTGAAGTTCATATTATGATATTAGGATAATGTTCTGAGCGCAAATTATATGCTTCTATCATTTTCGAGCTCATTGAGGAATCTTATAGAGGTTTTGAATCAAGATTAGGATGCAAGAAACAACTAATCTTATCTAATGATCTTGTTTAGAGGTTTCGAATAGGCGGGTCCTATTGTGTTATGCACCTTTTTTCAATACATATAAAACTCTGACTGATGTAGAAATGTTGGGCTGATCAATGTTGATTAATAGCAGGTATTCGGCTTGATATATATGCCAACCATTTTCTTATGCATTGAAAGTTGGAGTGAATGACTCCAGATTTCAGTTGACGATTATTGAGTTACAAAATTTTGGATGGCTACTCCGAAATATTGGTGGGGTGTTGCCAAAAAATGTTTTACAGTTGGTATCATATCCCTAACTGTTTCTGACCAATTTGGGTGTATCTCACGAATTTCTGGACATTCTATGTCTCCTACATTCAATCCTGCACATAATAAATTTAAAGGTAAGGAAATGTCTAATGATGAAGAAAATGCTTTTGATAGGTATTTTAGGCGTGGCTAACTATACATTGATTGTGCTTTTATAGACTATGTTTTGGTGGAGAAATTTTGCCTCAACAAGTACGACTTTTCACATGGTGATGTTATAATTTTCTTGTGAGTCTCTCATAGAGCTTCTTGTTTGGTTGTCAAATAATGTAACATGCTTGATTCTTTCTGACATGATTAAAAAAATGAATTTCATACAATCATGCTTACCGTTTTTGCTATTCAATTTCTGCCTGTATATGTTAGCTTCTATGGCTGTCATTTTAAGTTTGTTCCTAGTGAATATTCTAAATAGCATTTTTATCAGTGCTATCTGTATTCAACACCTTGGCATCTTTTCTAATGTTTTCTCGTTTGTTGTTGGAAAATATGCTAGGTCCCCAAGTAATCACAAGGAGAGACATGTGAAGAGGATCATTGCTATGCCTGGTGATTGGCTCAGTCTGTCTGACTCACATGATACAGTGAAGATTCCTCAAGGCCATTGTTGGGTGGAGGGAGATGATGTAGCTTCCAGTGCGGATTCAAGATCTTATGGTCCAGTAAGTGACTCCTTATTGAACTGAATTGCTCTAGTTGCTTTTTGGTATGAAGTTATGGTTAGTATAATGTCAAACATCTACCTAGTGTCTGGTTGGGAATTTTGTAAAACTGAAACCTGTGGGGCCCAATGCTTAGAAGTTAGAAAGTAAGAATCACAATGAGCATTGGGTTGGCATACTGATGGGAGGATGTCGATTATTCCCATTTCCTTTCACATGTAGATATAATATACAAAAACAAAGAGATAGGGAATATCGTTGATTCGATGATCAATCCCTATGCAACTTTGAGTTCTTTTTTTCACCTCCTCCATAACGACCCCCAAATCAACTTGCATGGCTACTCCCCCTTCGCTTGCATACATCAGCAGATCAACTTAAACATTTTCCTTTCCCCTTCAAGCTTTTATATGTAATGAATCCCTCATCCACCTTCATGGGAGGACCAATGTCCCTCCTTGCCCCTTTTCCACGTAGTGCTACCCGTTTTACCTTTTTGAGCATCATGTTACACCCTGATGTTTGTTGCTAGACTTGGTTTGGCAGATATAGCCAAATAGGTTTGCACGAAGAGGTTCTGCTTTGAAGTGGTAGTGGTGGTGTGGGTTTGATGATGTAGAATATAAGATCTAGCTACGGATAGAATAAAGATATTGTTATTCCATATTAATAATTAAAGGTATGGTCGTATGGGTTTGTAGGAACTCTCTTCCTCATTCAGTTCCATATATTCCCCAGACCATTCCTGATATTATAAGCAAACTAAATAGTTCCTCGAATGTTTTAAATTTCATTGTATCTCTAGAACTTGTATATAAGCAATGACTTTATGCACTTGAAGTGATGCTTGCTTGAACATGCTAGTTCTTATTATGTAGCATGCCAATGGTAATAATTCACTGTATTCTATATTTCAATGATAAAGGAAATTACTTGTACTGGCACTTGTATGATCTTCATTCACCTTTTCGTCATTGAAGAAGCTATAGATATATCCTGCTGACTTGGGGAGGGGAATTTTCCTGATGTGTTGTCCGGACTCTGGAACTTGCAATTGCTATTTTCCTGAGTTTCTGAAATTGCTTTCTGATGCATCAAGCTATCAAACGCAAAACCTTGACATGCTGGCATGTAAATAACACTTAGGAATTTTAATATTTTTTTCCCTCATCTAATAATACCTCAACACCTTATGAGCTAACATTTTTGGAAATTCAGTATTAGATTTATTGACTTTGGTGCATGGTGTAAAATCATTAAAATCAATATCCAAAATTTTACTTCTGTGCTCAAATCACATTTTTTTATGGTGGATGTTGTAATTAGCAAGACAAGTTTTATCTAGTCTGACCTTAGAATCGTGCATTCTTCCACAGGTTCCTCTAGGCTTAGCCCAAGGTAGAGTCACACACATTTTGTGGCCACCTCAGCGAATAGGCAAAGTCGAGAGAGTAGTTCCTCATCACAGGCTTGCATTGAGCTGACTAGGCAGATGTCCGGAATATCTACTCATGATATGGTAACTAGAGGGGAGATTTCAGCTTATATTTCATTTTTTGGTTTTGGTGCAGTTTGTTGCACTGCCGACCCCATTTATGGGATTAAGGCTTGGATTGATTGATTGATTGGTGCAGTTTGTTGCACTGAAAATTTTGGTAGTAACTACAGAGGGAGTTCATCTTATATTTCATCTAAAGGAAAATAATATTCCTTTGCATCGACGCTTTTCTTGATCATCTTACTAATTTACAGGCAGGACATGCAATTTTTCTTCTTGATTAATTCAGAAGTATGATAACCATTCTGTATCTGCCTGTGACTGCAGTTTTCTTTGTTCATTCGGTTTGAATTGAAATAAGCCCAGTTTGTGGGAGCGCTTCATGATGTCCCCTCTTATGGAGTTATAGGGATCCTCTCAAACTCAGATGCGAAGTCAACAAGGGAATCGCTTGAGAACTAACGGCATACCTGAAGTTAGCTTGTGTGCGCATAGTTTTTCTATCTCTTTGCATTACTTCTTCTCCTAGTCTTATTCCAACCTGAGAGTTTCACGGATGCTAGACGATATCCTTGGGGACATCGCCTAGTAGTAAGGCGGGATATCCACCCGGTTTCCCAAAATGGGCACTATCGGGTCGGATGAATTCAATAACTGCATAAATTTGTTCACGATGAATAATGGTGCATACTGCATAAATGCATAGTGCCATAGTTGGTTAATTAACTTAATTACATATGGCTAGTTAACGAATTTAATCTTAACACAGTGAATAGACCTGAAAAACTTTGGACATATGAGAATTACATTCAACACTGGTTATTATATTTCGCTTCCGGCTATAAAGTTCCATTGGTGTTAGTTACTACTGTCAAGATGATCATAACGTGGCCGAGTCCATTTTCGATGAGACCTTACTACCTTAGTAATAGTTGATAATTGGGGAACCATGACTACTTTGGGATGCTCTTTATAAATCAGTGAGGCAAGGGACACCTTTTGTATTTACATTTGGTATCTGAGGGAATTTTGTCATACACTATCCTCAATTCCTCAAGAGTCAAGACTTGCCTTCCAAACATATAAGCATATATCCAAGGTTATAAATGAGTTGAAATTCTTCATAAACAACTAGAACTTAATTAAAATTTGTTTATTCATTGAATGATCCAATAATGAAATAAACCTTGTATGTAAAGATTGTAAACTTAGCTCAATTAATAAACAAACCACTTATGATTTATGAATCAAGCTTTATCGCGATAATTACTAGACGAATTGAGCTGGTATTGAATCTCAGTTTCAGAATAAAATTTACATTTGAGCTCGCTCTCAACCTAAATAATCAAATGTAACTACATATAATACACTCAATTAAGTGATAGTATTCAACTTGTCTCGGCTCATTAACACCCTACCTTTAAAACACCGTAAATTGCCAACTAAGCAAACTTCATTTTCAACGAAGTTAGGCTCCCATGTCATCAATCTCATCATTCCCGTAAAACACAGGGAACAACGATCAATGCATATATAACCTCCTTTTGCTCTCTTTCTCTCTCTTCTTTTCTCTTTCTCACACACAACTTTCATTCATTCATATTCCTTTTTAGTTCTACTTTTTTTTTCTTGTAAAAAAGCGTGCATTGCATTGCATTTGCAAATTCACCCAGCAAACTAACCCCACATACAACTACTATAAAAGTACCAATGTATACGTTCATTTTTCATCTCTTTGATTGATTTTCTCTGCTTTTTTGTTCTTCTGCAAAAGATTCTGATAATGGGAAGATTGTTTTTGATCTCATTGGAAGGCCAGATTTATCGTTGCAAACATTGCCATACCCACCTGGGCCACATCGATGATATCATGTCTAAGGTAAAAATTCTTATTATATGAATTTTCATTTAATTTCATGAACATTTTAATCTGTTAATCTTTAATGGGTAGTTGCTAATTTGCGTTTTATGAATGCTGAATTCAAGAATTGTGGGAATTTCTTTGTGTTTGATTGATGGGTTTGTTGAATTGTTGAAGATGTTGTTACGTTGTGTTTGATTGATTGGTTGGTATTTTTATGAGAAATTTGAGGTTATATTCTTGTTCAATTTTTTATAATTACTGAAATGATTAGGGTTTCTTGTAATGATTTGTGAATTTGTGATTGTTTTATTGCTTTGAATTTTCTTGTTATGGTATGCATAATTGTGGGGTTTTCTTGAATTGAAGAGCGGTTCTTGGAACTTGGAAGTAGAGCTTATAAAAAAGATGGGATGATGGGTGAAATATTTAAGCAATTTGGTGTAGACTGGACTATGAAGTAGTAGGAAATGATTCAAATTTTTTTAAGAAAAAATCTTTTGTAATTTCATTATCTAGACTTTCCACTTTTAATTGATTTTGATATCAAATCATGAGATATTTGGTTCAAGAATAGAAGTAATAAGCAAGGAGGCTATAGGTGGCCGAGGAACATTTTCGATACAATTAGTGTAAGTTGACCTATATGTTTAAAGAGGTTTTGATCAGGTTAATGGGATTTGATTCCGGTGCTGCTTTGCAGCTTCTGTAAACTTACAAAATGGAAACACTATGAGGCAAGTTTGGCAACAATTGGGGCAATCTTTTATTTGGCTAATAAGTACATTAAGCCCTTTTTTGTATAAGTGTAACCACAGTAAGAAACTGATTGAATATTGAAGGCGTTGGCCTTTCAGGTATGACATGAACTGCTTCTCACAGTTGCCTAGATAATTGTGTCATTAGGCATTAATGTGCAGGTGTTGGGTACTGGTATATATCCAAATATTAGGCAACCCAAGGTTGAAAATTGTTCAGATAGTGTTCTTAAACTAGGCACAGGTATGGGGATATGGCATTAATGAAACTTATTTTTAATACTGAAGGAGTTTTGCAGGTCTTTTCTCTCATTTTGAAAGAGTTTTGCATGGCTTTTCTCTCATTTAAGATTTACTTCTTTCATTTTTTAGCACATACCATGTGGTTTTCAAAATGCTTGAGGGGTCAGGGTAATAATTCAAATGTCTGATAAGGATTCCAAACTTTTGTTGAACTGTTGAGCATCTGACAAGGATATGTAATATAAATAGAAGATTCAAATTAATACTGCAGAAAGATTTTCGAAGAAGAAATATTTTAAGTGTTATAAGGTAGAGAGTAAATTTTGTTTAAATACAGGCTAAAATTTATTTGATTTGTATTATTGGCAGTTGATCTGCCTATATCATCTTTCTCTTTCTTTAAAAATTTAAAATTGGGAGAAGGGGAGAGGGAGTGGGGAAAGGCTTAAGACTATAAGAGGCACAAAGGGCAATGGTATGCCACTCTCCGTAAATATTACACAAGCTGCTAGTTAATTACTCTGCTCAGATCTGTTTCTCCAGTTACATTGGAAGCTTCTTGCTGGCCAGTGGTCCCCAGCTGCTAAAAATGGCTTGGAGTGAATCTTCATATTCCTAAAACCTTTGTTCTGCACTTTAGATCCTTTAGGATTGTTAAAAGTGGAAAATTTGTTACATACGTTGTTCGTGAAGGTCATAATTGAATTCTGCGAATGATATCAAACATCAGTGCTATAGAGCATCAAATCTCTTCCCAACATGTTACTGAAGCAACTTTTTGTTGAGAATTTTAATGGAGGGTGTGATCCTAAGGTTTGATGTTCTATACCGTTAGTACTCCAAAGTCCTGACGATTCTGCAACCAGTTTTTGATCTTCAAGTATCAGTAGGATGTTACCAGGCTGATTTAGTTGTCTTTATGCTCTAAGAAATACCATTGGACACTTATGCTCTAAAGTCAAAGTTCATAGGTTTTGTTGGGCTTTGTGTTTGTGTACCAAAAAAGAATAAGAGAATAAAGGATGAGCAATAAAAGGTGGAATAATTCAACTATGGTAGCTCATATAGATTGTGTTGCAAATGAGTAGGAGGAAAGGATTCTGTAGGGTCTTACATAAACATTATTGCATTTCTCTGATTAAGCTAGTCCATATACAAGCTTCACTATCAGTGATTGAGGATTTGACTTTCAATGAAATGCATTATTGATATATCCCTCAGTGAACCCTGTGCCTTGTTATCTTGTATAAATGTATAATATTATTACCTTAAAATAATCCTACTGTTTCACATTTAAGTCGTAGAGTGCATATGCTTATCACTTTATCAGTGTCTTTAAATGTTCAAAAGCAAGCTGGTTGAACATCAATTGAAAATGGTCAAAAACACCTTTTCCAGGTTTTTATTGCTGTTAAAAAAAATAAATAAATAAATAAAGTTGTAGCCCTTGTACATGTAATGTTCAAGTTCAGATCATGATCATCGAAGAGAATACCATGCTTTTGGCCTGTTGTTTATTGCCTTAATCCTTTTAAGTGCCCTTTTCGCAAATATAGCTGACCTCTAACAAGTGTTTGTTTTAAACGTTAGTGCAAAAGATTAGAATTTTTCATATCAATCATATGTTGCCCTTCCTCTAATGCAATTACTGTACATTTTTTAGAAAGAATTTCAGCAATAGTGACTCAAATTGGAAAATTTGCCCAATTTATTAAGCATAAAGTGTAACCTTAAGACAGGGAATAAGTGTTATAAATTTGGATTATAAAAATATATAGAATCATTAAACCTCTTGGAACGGTAAATGATTAATCTGCCTGCATGACTTTCTGTACACAAATTTGGTTTTCATTCTCACATTTATGCATGTTTATTCTTTATTTCTTTTCTAGATTGAGAACATCGTTATCTAACAAAATGCATTCCTCTGTTTCAGGCATTTCACAGCAGACATGGCAAGGCTTATCTTTTTGATAATATGTAAGTAAATCTTCATTCCTAACTACTCATCTCTTTTAATGATGGTTTATCCCTTGCCAGTTATAGCATAGTTAAGAGGCAGAGATAGTGTGTTCCTTTGCAGATTATGAAAGGAACTTACTAACTCATGAAAGAATGCCCTGAGTTGATAGTATGAATTGACAGTCTCTGGGATCATAAAATTAGGAATAACATTTGAGTATGAGTCAAATTTGGTTTAATCTCTGAATAATTCAATACTTCTCGAGTTGGATTGCAATGGAATAAATCATGTTTCATACCTTTCACCAAACTGTCCTTTACTTTTAGTGTGTGGCGAAAGGCCAATTAATTACCTTTAGGTTCCAAGGGTATAATAAGAACAACCAATTTGCAAT